AACGTGCTCTTCGTTTTGAGTTTCACCACACCAGCCTTTGATTCAGATGTTGCACCATCCTTTGGGACCCTCCTGGCCACAGTTAATGTAGCCCTTAACATGTTGGGAGAGGTACATTTCTCTGTTTGGGAGAGCACAACAGTTACAGTGATGTCCGGGCACCCATCAGCTGATGTTTTCAGGAATGGGAGTATCTTTTTTTTTTTTTATCTCCTGTCTCTTAATGTTTCTTTTTTTTTTTTTTTCCTTTTTCTCTCTAAGCTGGATAAGAAGAAGGAACCTTTCCCTCAAGCTGCAGGGTTGAATATGCAAGAGGGAACCAAAACCCTCAAGTAAGTTTTCAGCTCCTTTAGTTAGTCACGACTGAGGAGCAGAAACCAGTGCTCCTCAGGTCAAAACAAAGATTCAGAGGCCTTTGAGCTTCYTACCCTGAATTTAAGAAAGGAGCTCAAATAGCCCATCAGAATCTCTTGAAAGCAAGCAGAGATTTTTTGGGGCAGGTTATGCAAAGCCATCCCATCCTGGGTAAACCATTGAAGAAACAGAGTGCTCACGTATCAGTGCATTAAATCAGACTTCCTTGTTGGCCACTGGGCATTTCTTCTCTGTGGATTGTAGCTCTGGATCTCTCTGCTTGAGCAGATCTGAACAGTAGCAGTGAACCCTCCCATGCACTTAGTGTGTAAAGCCTTTCTAAGGGTGTGTGTACTGATCTCCTTGGCTCCTGCTGATTCGTGTTTCTTCGCACAGGTCTCTGCTCATGTTTACAATGGAAAACTGTTTCTACCTGCTCATCTCCCAGGCTGTTCGGTATTTGAGGGATCCGGCCGTGCATCCCCGTGACAAGCAGCGCATGAAGCAGGAGCTCAGCTCGGAGCTAGTAAGCAGCTTGTTGCCTCCCTCCTGCCCACCGGGTGTAAATGGCTCGTGGGTGGAGCTCTTCAGCTGCCCAGTCCAGCCCGTTCCCCTCAGGTCACCCTGGGCTGCAGCCGCTGCTGCTTGTCCCTGCGCCACGGGCGCCTTATTGGGGCCGGGAGGCCAATGGGTGCATTTAGAAGAGCGTCTCCAGCAGGTCGAGGGAGGGGATCGTCCCCCTCTACACAGCCCTGGKGAGGCCACAGCTGGAGACTGTGTCCAGTTCTGGGCTCCCCAGTACAGGAGGGATGTGGAGCTGCTGGAGAGAGTCCAGCRCAGGGCTACRAGGATGATCAGGGGCCTGGAGCATCTGCCATATGAGCAAAGGCTGAGGGAGCTGGGCCTGTTCAGCCTGGAGAAGAGGAGGCTGAGGGGGGACCTGATCAGTGTCTATAAATACCTCAAGGGAGGCAGTGAGGAGGAGGGGCCGGCCTCTTTTCAGTGGTGGCCAGCGCTAGGACTAGAGGAAACAGCCGCAAGCTGAGGCACCAAAAGTTCCACAGGAACTTAAAGAAACACTTCTTGACAGTGAGGGTGCCCGAGCCCTGGCACAGGCTGCCCAGAGAGATTGTGGAGTCTCCTTCTTTGGAGATCTTTAAAACCCGCTTGGACACAGCCCTGTGCCCTGTGCTCTAGGTGACCCTGCGTGAGCAGGGGGGTTGCACTAGATGACCTCTGAGGTCCCTTYCAACCTTCTATAATTCTGTGACACCAGGACACTAACTTGTTGGCTGCTTCTCGTTTCAGAGTACGCTGCTCTCCAGCCTGTCTCGGTACTTCCGCCGCGGCGGCCCCTCTTCACCCGCCAGTGGGGTTCTCCCCTCTCCCCAGGGCAAGTCTGCTTCCAAGCTGGGTCCCGAGGGGCAGGAGCCCTTGTTCCAGCTCGTGCAGGCCTTTGTCCGGCACGTGCAGAGATAGGTCCTGCCCTGCCATGCCTCCCTTTGCAGGACCTGCGCCACATTGATTCATGTCCACCACAGAAGGCATCACCCTTGGCAGAGCTCGTAACAAGGACTGGGAAGGGGAGGGCGGCCTGTGCTGGGCAGGGTTGTAAACTGAGCTGTCACAGCAGCAGCAAGATCCCCTTGAACTCTTGCGACCCGGTAGCACAGCGAATGTAAAGAAATCTGAGAGCAGCTCTTCAAACTGAGCAGCCCACGTGCCCACCCTGCCGGCTCCGTCTGCTAGAGCATCCTGGCTGGGGACAAGTGCTCAGCAGTGGAAATCTTTATTTTTATAGTTTGTACCTCAGCCGGAGAAGCTGTGGCTGGGTGGAGAGAGGGGACAAACTTTCTTCTGGGCATTAACTCTGCTCTCAGTGCAAGGTGCAATCTGCCTCTCCCTAGCAGTCCGTTAAGGCACAACCAAGGGATCAGCCAGCAATTCAGAGACCATCTTTCTACTGCTATTTTTGTACTGAATGGTTCAAGGCAAGATGGTGTATGTGTGCTCTCGCCTCCCTTCCCCCCTGCAGTCTGTGTGTTATGTGTGTTTATGAAGAGCAAGGCTTCCCTCAAAAGATTTTTAAGGCAAAATTCCATTGCTCCAGTCTTGCAGTTTTTTGTAACTGTGCCCTATTTATACGGATATTAAAACCTTTATAGTCAGCAGCTGGATTCGTGGTGGTGTCTTGGTCACAGCAGCCTGCAGTACCGGTCTCTGCATCTTTTGTGTAGCCGTTTGGGTTTGCCAGTGAAAAACTCAGAGTCTCCTGGGATAAGTACAAGCTAATAATGATGCTGAGTTTTGGCTTTTAAGTGACAATCCAGATCCTGTTTGAAGTGAGTATAATCAAAGGTTGATGCACTCAGCTTTCCRACACCCACTCCCTTTTCCTTTCATGTTTGGGGAGTTGTAGGAGGTTTTCAGCTGGAATCACTGTAAAATACTTCTTAGGGATGACTTTTTTACCTATGATAATGTAGAGCACGAACACAGATTGCCTTGTGCCCAGGACTGTACACGTCCTAGCATCTGGGGCTGATGCAGGTTCAAGCTGGAGGGAAGACTTGGGAATTGTCTACAGTGAAGCAGCATCGTCCTCAAGCTGATCATCAGACTGCAGGTTCCGAGGTGCAGTGGAGGATGGAGAGAGTTAAGGGCAGGTCAGCTATTGCTGCTTAAAATAAAGCCTGATGCGAGCTCTGAGATCTAGACAGGCTTTCTGAGGTAGGAAATCTAATTTCTTTGTAGGTGTGAGCTCATACCCCACCAGGTCTTTTCTGAAGTGACACCTGATTGTTTTCCAGTCAGAACCTTTTTATGTGCAATGGTTTAAGAGACTAAATTGGAAAAAAAATGTTGCTTTAGATTACGTCGCGTTGAGATTGTCATTGTTTTTTAAGCTTAAGTCTAGCACAATTATCTGATCTAGATTTAGTTGCCTGAAAGGCTTCGGAGAGATTTGAACTAGTTGGCTCGAGTAATTTGGTCTTAAAGAAGGGAGAGGAGCCTAATTGCCTTCCAGAAGCTCAGGTGAGGTGCTCAACAGGCGAGGGAGGTTGTGTCTGGCATGGACTTGGTGTCATGGAGATGATGGTGCTCCCGAGGCGGCTCTGGTAACTGGGGCTGCCTGTAATACTCACCCCTTGCTGCTCACGTATGTGAGCACGGAGATTTAAAGACAAAGGACTGTGCAGAAAAGACAGCAAATTGCTGATATGCAGCCATGAGCATGGGAAATATAAACTGAATTCAGTACTTCTCCATGTTCAATAGTACCTAGTGTTATATGAGAGGCTCCGTAGTTATTTTCCCCTGGGTCGCAGCTTCTGAGTTAAATGCACTGTGCTAGTCACTTTGTCTTTGTGAATAGGGACAGAATGAGAATTTAGGGGCAAATACTTGGTTAAATAGCGGGTATTAAGCTGAGATTTGCCAGTGCCAGGCTAGGTAGGGGCCCTTAGGTGCCAGGCAGCACCCGGTGGCCGCAGGTTTGTGTTTCCGAGCTGCACCCTCACTTCAAACAGCAGCGTTTCACCCCTGCACTGCCCCTGCTGCTGTGTCTGCCCCTCAGCTACAAAGCAGAATAAAAGGAATGGAGCTGCTTGAAGCCAAGAGGGAGCAGCCAAGTCAACCAGGCAGCACCAGGGTGTCCCCTCTCTGCAGAGATCCCCTCTCTGGTAAAGGTGGCACTCGGGTCTCCTCGTGCTCTTTCTCATGCAGAGGGAGGGGAGCACGGCGGCCAGGGGACATTTTTCTCCTCRCTCTTCCGAAGGAAGCGACCCCAGTTGCTGCATCGTTACCCACTGCTGGTTGTGCTGGAGCTGTTCTGCCTTTGGATGTAGGGCACCAGGGAGACGTGCAACGGCAGCGCTGCAGCACCGAGGGAGAGATTCCTGCTGCAGGAGGGGAGAGGCAGAACTGAAGCTATGAAAGGGCAGCACTGGGATAGCTGTAGCCTTGGTAGTTAGAAAACTAATTAAAACGGTAGCATATTTTAACTCTCCTTCCCTTTGGCTTTTTGCTGCAGGAAGAGAGGGAGCTAATCTTGCATTATGGAGCATTTTAAGAGCTTCTCTTCCCAGGCCACCCGTCCATGCCTTRAGCTGAGTGCTAGGGACAAGTCTGAAAATTAAGTTTGCACCAGATCTAGTTTCCATAACAACAGAAAGGGCCGTTAAATCCAGAGCAGCAATTTCAGTCTCTCAGCACAGTCATAACACTGCTCTATTTTTGCTGCAGGTTAAGGAGGAGCTGTTGTGCCTTACAGTTCATCAATGTGTAGTGCACCCAAGACACAGAATTTGGGAAAGGACCTGAAAAACATTAGCAAGTTTAAGGCATGCGGAGTGTTTGAGCTGGGACTGGAATAATTAAGGAATTTGCTGGCTTTTATTCCACTTCCAAGCCTAGTCCCCCATACACCCCAGCTCCCCTGACCCTGCACCCCTTTCCCCTGCTAGTGCTGCTGTTCAGTGCAAGCTGCAGCCCCCAGTGCCCCCAGACACTGAAGCAGGAGSTCAGGCAGTTTGTTTATTGGCAAATAAGTGCAGAAAACCATGAGCCCTACATACACAGGTGCTCTGCGCCCTGTTACATTAGTGTGRTCACAATACCATGGGGGAAAAGTGCAAAAAGATCATTAAACAAGCAAAGGTRGTGTCTGACACACCGCGAGGAGGGCAGTGAACGGAGACCTTGGTGCAGGTGGGCGCTTCTCTCTTGAACCCAGCTCGAGATGGAAACTGGTGACGCAGCAGCTGGAGYCCTCAGGCCGAGCTCCGAGGCTGGTAACAGGATTAAAAGGCAAAAGCACCTCAGTGCTTCCCCCCTGCAGCTAAATCACCACAAACGCCAAGGGCAGCCGGGATGGTTGAGCGGGAAGGGGTCGGGAAAAGCAGGATTGTAGTTGCCTCTGTGTATGACCCAGGATGGCTTTTTGGTGGAGAGACAAGAGCAAGCGGGACTACCCCGTGCTGGACTGGGATGCACCAGGTCTGTTCACTGCTGAGATGGGAGGGGAAGGTATTAGTGAAATCAGTGATCTAGGGGGGCAAATAAAGTCAGGCTAAAACATAAGCCTGCACCAAACACACTGAAAGAAGAGCCTGGACAATTAACACAGGGAGCAAAGCTTGTAAAAAGGCTTGTAAACTCTTTGCAGTCCAAGAGCAGTTTCTCAGAGGAAATGCAAGCAAGATGCATGGTCCCTTTCACCGAGGTTTCATTCTGGACATACAGGCCCTATGTTTTTTTTGGTTGGTTTTCTCAATCACATCTCCTTCCAGCCTCCCAGCTCAGTTCTACCCTGAAGCCATCAGGCAGCACTAACAGGAGGGCTGGCTCTCAGAAAGCCCCGCGTTACTGTTCCCCCACAGGCAAGCAAGACAGTGCAGGTTAATGGGCTTTTAGCTCTTCAGCTTCCTTTCCTTAACAGTTAGAATATGCCAGTGGGCTTGTGGGGCACTTCCCTACTGGAATGCTTGAAGACTGGATTCGGGGAACTCTACTGCTGACGAATGAGGCTGGGAGGGGAGCCAGGCACTAACCAAGAGCAAACACAAGGGAAGTGCAACACGCTCCAGCAGCAGCCGCCGCGGGAAGCAGTTTGCTGGCCCTGGGGACACCACTGCAATAAACTAGACTAGGGCAGAGGGACGGAAACGGAGGAATCTCGCATGGCCAAGATGAACCTCAAAGCAGGCTGCACTGCTGGGTAGTGAATTCCATCCTAGTGCCATTTGTCCTTTCCCCAAACCCTCCCCTAACAGTTTTACCACTTTGCCACGCTTCCCRTATTAGCAATGGAGGGTCATCCCTGAAGACAGCAATGGTCTCTGATGAAGAAATCCGTGTTAGAAGTGCCAGGAGATGAGGGGTGCATTCTGCTTGGACATTCTTCTTCCTGGAGACATTTTAACTTAACAGTTCCAAGTAAGTGACAGGAACTTTTCCTTTCTGGTTCCCTCTTTCACCTATGAGCCAGTCTGGGTCCATGCCCGGCAGGCTGTACACAGTGATCATCTGGGGAGAGAAGACAGTGTTAGACAGGACCAAGAGAGTCAGTGAGATGGGTTCTAAAAGAGTAAGTTAATTCCTATAGTTCATTCAGCAGGCCCTTTGCCTGCAGCCTCCCTGGAGCTACTTTGAGCCACTCCAGAAGATCTACAGGAGTCTGTCCAGTGATGTTCTCACTGCCTTTCCATTCCCTGAGGTGGCCCAAGGTGGTCCCTTGATATAGGGATGGCTTAATGGTACTACAGGACCCCTTCTGGGAAGGGAAATTGAGTCTAGTCACCCTAAGAGCTTGGAAGCTGCTGAATTGCCTTTGTTCTCGGTATGATTAGATCAGGCCTCTAGCCTGCAGCTCATCCCATTTCACTTGCATATAAGCTACTTAAGTCTGAGAGTCCTCAAGAAGAAACTAGATACTGAGCAGAGTGTTTTGCTAGCTGGATAGAGCTGGGCTCCAGAAGAAATAAATATGCTATTAAAAGAGAAAAAAAYGCTACGAACCTCATCTGCAAGGAGTGCCAGTTCACTGCTGTCAGCTGCTTCGTAGTCATAAAGGACCCTGGCCTTGCGTGTGCCACTGGCAGGGGGTTTGACTTCGTTGGGGTTCAGCACTCCCTCCGCCACCGCGTTAGGCACCCCGCCAAGCGTGGGCACAACGGGGATGGTAGGCACAGCGGGGACGGCGGCGGCAGCAACGGCTGCAGGAGAGGTAGCAGCGGYGGGAGATGCAGCTTCGGCGTTGCCGACGAACGTGCCTGAAAATCTTAGCCAGGGCAGAGAAGGAAGGGGAGAGAGAAAGGTTCAGTAATGGAGTGTGAGGGGACCCGACGAGAGCTACGCTGCAGGGGAGGGAATGCTCAGGAGTCAGTAGCTGCTGGTTAAAGCAGGTCCCTGCTGCCTGTCACACGGGGAAGGGCCTTAGTTCTCTCGGCTTGACACTATTTTTTGCTTTATTTTCCTTCAGTATCCTGAAGGCATCTTGCAGCTGCTGAGTTGCCTAGTCAGGCCCCGCTAGGAGCACAGGTAGATGTGGAGCAGAGGTGCTGYGGTGCCTCTGGAGCTGGCCAGAGGACACTCCACGCTCGAGGACACGGGGCCAGCGGTGGCGTTGGGAAGGGTCCTGCTACTGCTGGCCCTGCAGCTCTCTTACCAGCTCCCTTGTGTGTCCCGGCTCTGCTCTCGTGGGCTCTGTCTCATCTGTTTAGCCTGGCGGTTCCTCAGGACAGGGACCAGCACTGCCTGCTAAGCTGGATGTGGTGCTGGGAGGCTCCTAGGCTTCGTGGGCTCTTTAAGTAGGGTGGTGACAGTGTCACACAGTGGCAGGTCTTGCTTATTTGTAGGGTCCCTTCCCTGGACTAGTGGAGTGCAGCTGCACTGGTCTCTGTAGAGAGTCCTCCCAGAGCAGCCCCTGCACCGTGTCCTCAAGAGCTGCTGGCCCCTGCGAGGGGGCTCCGAGGAGAAGAGCTCTTAGGGACTGCTCTGTGTCACATCTTACTTACATTTCTCCTTTGGAACTGCAGGCATGGAAAGGAAAGCAAGAGGAGTAGTGAGTGATCACATCGAGGTAATGGGTACGACTGGGTCATGTTGATGTAACTGGGCAGCAGAGAGAACAGCTCTACCYGCCCGCGAGACGCGCAGCCCGCGCGCAGCATCCGCTGCTGCCGCCACTGATCGCCCAGACTTGTTGCTTGGCAGCAGGAATTTGTTTCCCAGCTGATTTAATTTAGAGGWAAAATGATCTGACCGTCTCGCCTTCACATGTTTAAATGAATACATCAAAACCAGATGAATCCTGCAGCTCTAAAAGCAACAGTGAAAGGATTGGTCCCCATTCCCTAAGCTCAGGAGCTCTCAGCAGAGCTTGGATGGGGCTTTCCAAGGCATGGGGATAGGTCTGAACTAATGGAGGTRGATGAGAGAACCAACCCTTGGGGAAGTAAGAGCGCTGCCTTRTCTCACCTGCCCAGTTGCTTCTGCAGGTCCAACATGTACTGGTAACACTGAGCATAGTAGTTGGTCTGAGACTCCACAAACTCATGGAGACAGCGAAGGTGATTCACCTGGAAGCAAAGGGGCTGTTAGCTGCTGTGCGAGTCGGGAAGCATCAGGATCATCCTGCTGTAGCCACTATCTCCCCCAGAGGAAGCAGGCCTACGCAGGCCAGTATTCAGTATTCAAATACATTAACTATTTATTACTTAATGTAGACAAGCCAACATTAAGAACGTTGGCTTGAACACGTTCGCTTGTCCAGTCTGGGGATGCTGTGCAGGCCCAGGGTAACCTGAGCCAGGAGGCTTCTCCTGGTGCTCTGGTAGCATTGGTGGGGCTAGTCCACAGCTCTGGTGAGGGAAGAACAAGGTTCTTCCATCTCGGAGAAGCTGGGAGGGCTGCAGAACCGCTGGCATTGCAGCCGCCCTGCTTGTGCATGCCCCTAGGCTTTCTTTGAGCTATCCAGAGCATATGAGAAGGCTGCAGTGCGAGTTTAGAAGCAATTCTACCTCCGCTCCCAGGTCTCCCCTTCCTCTTGGCGTCCTTCTAGAAGGGCAGCGGCCGCGGCGCGTGCGCCCGGCCCCGCGGGACACTCACGTGGGTGCTGTTGATGCCCTCCAGCAGCAGCCGCGTCACCTCGGCCTGCCGGTCGAACTCGGTCTGCGTGAGCCGCAGCTCGTGCTCGGCCTGCAAGAGACGCAGGGGCTCGGGGCGCGAGCAACACCTCCCTCCCAGCAACACCTCCCTCCCCTGCGCCCCGACCCCCCTTTTTGGCACCGAGGCGAGTGTATGGTTGGCTCAGGAGGGTCCACATGCGCCTGTGATACTGAGCAAGAGCCACAAGACACCCTGGGCTGGGATCCCGAGGCTCTCCGGCTGTTTTGCAGCTCCAAGGGCCCGCATGTGATTGCTGCTGTTCATGGAATGGCAGCTGGAGAGAGATGCATCAAGCTGAGAAGCTCCTTGCGCAACCACAGCATGAAGATGAGGAGGCTCTGTCATTGCCGAGGAAGGTGGAAGCCGGGCCCATGGCACCCCTGACCCGGCACTGGCTGCTGTAGGAACCCCCATGGGTTCTGCTGCCGGAGCTGTCCTCTCCAGAGACACCATTAGGGACAATGTTCCAGAGCGGGACAGCGGGYGCAGGCAGCATGTGTGTGTGTCTGCTGCTGCAGGGCACTGCTGTGCAGCTCCTGCAACACCTCTCTATGCCTGTACACTAGAAAATGCCACAGTTTCCCTAAGTTTCTCTCCAAAATTTGCACTTTTGACATTTTTTTTCAATTCAGAGCACAACAGAGCTGAACGGCCCATCCCAAGGCCAATCTAAAGCTCCCTCCGTGCTCACGGGCGTTAAACAGCGATTGCTGAAAGGCAGCTATGAAGCAGACRTGAGGAATTCAAAGCAAGACGGACGCGTGGGACCCTCTCTACGAAGTCCACACAACATCTCTCCCTTAGCAGCAGCACCAGAGCACCCCAGTGGAGCCTGGCAAAGAGAACAGCACCCACGTAAGGTCGGAGGCTCCCRTGCCCGCTCTCCTGCTGCCCAGGGACAGGGTGGCCAACAGGTTCCCGAGCGAGGGAACCCTGGAGGAGCCGCGAGTCTTCTCGGCCGGACAAGCCTGAGGAGCTGCTGGGGGCCCTCGCGCCTCCTCTCCTCTTACTGCAACAAAGAAATGCTTTCACTGCCTCCTCGTCATATTTTATCTATTTTAAGCTACAACTGGTCTATTTTTCCTGCATCCTCTGTGTGGAAGGGATTATTTCAGGGAGTGGAGACCTCAGCACAATGTCTTATTAAGCACAGAGAGGGGTTTGTCCGCGCTGCAGTGAGCAGGGACCTCTGTAGCAGCAGAGCTATTTGTGACGGGCAGACCCAGCTCCTTTCTCCACCGCCTGGGTCTGACCCCTGCCTCTCTCTGCGAGTTASAGGATGCTCCTTCCCATAAGGACAGCACCCACGGGTGGCCGGGGAGGTCCCTCCCAGGGAAGTCTGGTGGTGCCACCCCGAAGCAGAGCCTTCTGCACCCCTACAGCTGACCCCCAGCAGCCCACTGTTAGAGGGAAGGGTCCGACGCGCGGGGCGAGCCGGCCCCAGCACAGCCAGTCCGCTTGCAGGCAGCGTTAGGGGGAGGCACTGCCAGGCGGCCATGCAGAGCATGCAGGGCTGTGCACGCGCCTTGCGCTGCGGGCTGCGCCTGCCCAGGGTCTCCGGGCTCGGAAAGGCAGCAGGGTCCCCGGCGCCAGGGCGGGGGTCCCAGGCCCACCACGGCCTCCAGGCTGCAGCCCTTCCTCCATCTCCGTGGAGGGAGATGCCGCTGCCCGCGGGGACTCCGGGAGCGCAGAAGGGCCGTGGCAYGGGATGGAGCCGCTCGGAGGGGCAAGTGCCGCTCACCCCGAGCCGGCAGCCAACCTCCCTGCGGCCCGGGGCGCTGCCACCCGCAGCGCGGGCTGTTCGTGGAGACCCCTCGCCCTCCGCGCGGGGCCTTCACGCAGAGCCCTGGCGAGGGCAGCGCGGGGCACAGGCAGCGCCTGGGCYGCGGGAGCGGGGCTGAAGCGCATGGCAGCGCATCCGTCCTGCCGCCGCGGCGCCGGCGGCTCCATCACGTCCACCCTCCTTTGCATCCGGCCTCCATCGCGCCCGGGCAGCCTCCCACCACAGAGCCCGGCGGCCCCGCGCGGCTCCCAGGATCAGAGATCCCCCTTGGAGTTAAGTGGCGGGGCCGACAACAGCCGGATCCCACTGATCCCATGGATCCCACGGATCCTGCGCCTGCCTGCGCGCACGCAGGGAGGCTAGCAGCCCCCCGGCCAGCTCCCAGCACCGCTCTCAGCCAGGTACTTACTTTTTCCACCTCGTCGCTCCAAAGCTGTGGGGGGCCACGGAGCAACAGGAAAGGAGGTCAGTGTTGGAGACGTGGAGAAGCTCTCAGCGGTAACAGCGACGGGCACGGGGTGCTCGGGAACAGGCCGGCCCTTCACCCAGCAGCAGCCGCCAGCCCGGTGCTCCCTCACCTCGACCCTGCAGCCCTGAGCTCGGCTTTGCGGTGGGAGAACAAGCCTGTGTGCCCAGCTCTGCCCCCTGCCATTCAGCAGCCTCCGGGAAGAGGAGGATTGAGAGGCAGGGGGCACGGGCTGCCCCCGGAGGTGGGTGTTGAAGGGCAGCCCCTCTCAGGAGCCTGGGGAGCGGCAGAGGGGCTGCCCGGGGGCACAGGRAGGTGCTCCCAGCCTGGCAGATGCCCCCGCAGCCCGGGCAGAGCCCAGCGGTGCTCGGCCACCGCTCCAGAGCTTGGCTTTTTGGAGCTGCCCAGCGAGCATGTCCAGCTACAGGATCATGAAGGACGCACCTAGATACGGCCTTTGAGCCGGACAAAATGTCTTCACTTCTCCCCTGCTTCCTGCCCTAAATGCTTCCTCCCAGCCCCGTCCATGGAGGCAGCGACGTTCGCCCCGCACCCGGGCACGGGCAGCTGCTCCTCGGATGGGGCCACCCCTGTGGGAATCTTCTAGGCTCCTTGGGCATCACTCCCAGGAGACGGTTTGGGGAACAGCACAGCTGTCAGCTGCTCGCTGGGATCTGGCCCCAGGACACGAAGCGATCGACAACAAAACATCACGCACAGCGACGGGGAAGGGAGAGCGGAGGMAGGAAAACACATTGATCTTTCCCAGAGGGTCCTCGGCCTGGCCTTGTGTCAACAGACAACTCATCTCTGCTCCCCAAAAGAGGAAATCCCTATGGATAAACCGGGAGTGCACGGACCTGCTGACTGCGCCCCACATCAAGGGGGCAGGGGGAGATGGCCTCCCTAGGGCCGTCACCTGCACCCTCAGGTGTCACTCTGTCACCTCGGCAGGCCGAAGACGTTCACCACRTCTTTCACAGAGCGGGGCTTGCGCTGCGGACGCCCGGGAGCTGCTTCCCGCCCTGTGTGTGCCAGCCCGAGGCTGCAGGAGCACCAGGCAGCGCCGCAGCTCCGCGGCCACCCGCGGCTCTCCCACCTCCGTGCTGCTCCCCAGGGAGAAAGGCGCTGCAGCCCCAACCATCCTGACTAACAACCCCCACCAGGCCTCATGGATGACGTGTCCATGGGAGAACACGTCTCGTTTGGGCCCGGATCTCCCTGCCCGGCCTTGTGGAGGCTCCATGAGCAACAACAGGCCGCAGCTGAGGCCATGGCAGCCTCAGGTGCAGAAGCAGCTTCCCCAGGGAATATAAGGAGCATCTGCAGGTGCTGCCAGTTTGGCTGGAGCAGTAGGTGGTTGTGTTGGACCTCAGCAGCCTCAGTGCGTGTCCTGGCTCCTCTCCCTTGCCCCGTGGCTCGGTTCCTGAGGTATGTGGCTTCTTTGGCACCGCTTACTCAACCATGGGGCATCACTGTGGCCGGGTCTTGCCTGGTCTAGCTGCCCTGGGGCAGGTCTAAGGTAGCTTTGCACTGAAGCTGGGTATTTTCTAACTTGCAGAGGGGTGTTGGGTTATTGCAAGTAAGCAGTTGGCTTAAATAAGGTCTGGATGATTTTAGCTGTATTTAGGGGTGCAACGGCCTTCCCCCTAAGGCCCTTCCTACAGAGGACTAAGGGGAAGATCCTCACAGGTAGCTGAGAAGCAGGTCCCAGCCTGAACTGCTGTCCTAGAGCAAGGGGGACAGTGGTCTTATGCCAAAACTGCACTGTGGGCTTATTTTAAATAAATTTTAGAATAAATAGAAAGAAACTATTTCCACCTGGCTAAAGGTCTTCCTACTCAAGCTCTGCAGATAGTGCTTAGGCTACTTTGGACTCATCTAATTCTTGAAGTACCAATCAAATTTTTATCTAGGTTTCTTCTTCTTCTGTTGGTCTTCCTGAAACGCTCCCTGACTCGATCCTCACCCCTAGATTAAGGCCCTGTGACCCTCGTTGGAGGCCCTTCAGAAAGCTCTGAAACAGAACAGGGCCATGACCTACCTTTTTTTCTTATTTGGTTTTTTTCCCTCCCTCTACCCTGTTTTCTTCCACACYAGGCCTCATCTTAAGCCAGAGGACCCTCTTTCAAGTACTCAATATGCTTTCCTTGGCATCATTCCTAGGGATGCAGAGCATGGCAAGGGGCAGGGGCTGAGGGAAAGGAACACGTAGGCATCTGCAGCCCACGTRTTCCCTCTCAGCCGGCAACAGAAGGTCAGTGTGGGAGAGAGGAGACACGGCTCCCCAGCCTCCGGCTCGCACACAGCAGGGCTGGGACAAGGCCCCTCCTTGACTCCAGGCGTCTCCACTTTCAGGCCTTCACATTACAGGAGACAAAAGTAAAGCCTTGTTATCCACCTCTCCAAAAAGCAAGATAAGCTTAGAATCGAGATCCAAGTTCACCTGGCCCTGCCTGGTGTTTAGAGGGGCCAGGAAACAGCTGACCCGTTTGCTCCCCTGCAAGAGAAAATTGTTACCTGGCCTTAAGCAATCCCTCCCTGCAGAAGGGAAGAGAGCCCCAAAGCAGGGTCAGCAGCACCCGCTGCTCTACAACCTCAGGGTGCCCTGGCAGCCAAGCAGCACGGGGGACTCTGGCCTGCAAGAGAAGCAGAGCGACAGCATGAGGAGCTCCTGCCCTGCTGCAGTGCCCGGCCCTTGGGATGAGTGCTGGGATTAGAGAGCGTGTTGCAAAGCGGTCCTGCCAGCACAGAGCTGGGGAGCAGTCTGTTTTGCACTGGCTGGAGAGAGAAATTCAGTATCAGGCTCCTGATAAAGGTACTGCAACCAGTAAGTGATCAAGGTCAGTGCTGGCTTCTTACCTAGGACACTGCTTGGAGTCTGCTGACCCTGATCAGTGTTGCTGTTAGAGCTTCCCTTGCAGGGATCTAAAGACTGGGCAGAGATGTACCAGAGCGGACACCTGTGGGCTTAAAAAAACCCATTTCCTATGTCATGTTGCTGTATTCAGCACCTGCTCCCTAGAATCTCTCTATAACACAGTAGACAAGCTTGCAGTTATRTGGCCACTAGACATTTAGGTGGCCACTAGACATACAAAAGCTCAAGCGAGCGCTTGCACACTCTGCAAGGTGCTGCACGTTACTAACAGTTGTTTTCAAGTCTCTTTTAGAAGGACTCAAGGGATCAGCAGGTTACACAGCTCTAATTGGAGCCATTCAGAGGCAAGGAGAGCCTGGCTGCTCTCCCCTCTTTCTCCTCAAGCTTAGCTTTAGTCCRTTACTGCAATACCTCTTCTGTCTTTGGAACAAGCATCTTTCCAGCAGGGAAAGCAGAGAAACAGGGYGATTAACTGCTCTACTGGAAGAGGTGGAGACTGAGCAACTGCTGCAGCATCCCCAGGAACAGCTTCTTTCTAAGGAGCCTTTTTAACCAGCCAGTCACCTGTAGTGAGCTCTTATTATTTCTTGTGTGTGTGCAAAGCTACATCTGATCCCAGTATCATTCTCCAARGAGGTCAGGACAGATCCCCCTGGGAACTAACACTGATGCTACCGGCCCAGACTTGCCTTTCTGCGCAYGGGATGTTGCCCATCAACCAAAGCCAACCAGCTACCATGAGCGTCGGGGTTGTCCTCGGGCGGGTCTGCAGATTCCCCTCCCCAGCCCCTCTGCCCCATGGTGGTTCTCTCAGAAGGCATCAGTGTTGTTCTGAGTGCTCTTTAGGAAGCGAGATGATCAGTTTTCAACATTTTAACGAGAAATGTGACATTGCCGTGCTCATGGCTTCCCATTGCACACAGAGTTAACTGCTTGACCACAAGTCCACCTGACTGGAGAGACAATAGACCTCTCCTTGCAGAAYAGACAAGTCTATATAATCATCCTGCTGGATTATTGGTGCCGTGGGTGGCAGGGACTCCCTCTGCCTTTTCCTTGATGGCTCTCCAAGGCCTCCAAGCACTGGCACCGCTCAGGGCAGTCGCACATATGATGTTACCAGTGGAATGGCTGGACCTGCTCTGAGAGACCTGGCAGATTGCCTTCCAATTGCTCCGTGAGCAATAAACCCCAGSTCCATTCCCCCTGGAAAGGGGGAAGGAGGTGGGACACCAACTGGAAAGGCGACCAAAGCGCCCAGCCCTGACACCCCGTGCTGGGTGGCTCTGCATCCTTGAGGCCACGTTGGAGGAGTCCTGGGCAGCCCATGTCCCATTAAAATGTTGAAAACAGCGCAGCGCTAGGTGCGAGCTGAAGTGGGGCGAAGAGAGGGGCAGGAGGAGGCCGGAGAGGCAGCGTCTGGGAGGTGATCTTACCGCTGACGCGCTGGCGGAGAGAATGTAATTACGAGGTCTAGTCTCCTGAAAGTCAGGCACGGCCTGGGGGGGGAATAGAGTTTCATGTACAAGTCATGCAGAAGAGCTCATGGGGGTCAGTTGGGCAAGAGATGGAGGAAGGAGCCACTGTTTTCCTGCCTGTGTTGGGAGTTTAGCCTGATTTCCTTGGGGCTGCGGGAGGGAAGTCTCCAAGCAGGCTGGGCAGAGATGCATGGAAGCTCCCCTGGGGGGATGCAAGGGCAGGGGGACTGGCTCATGCAGATCAGTTCCACCCAATACATCAATGGATGTTTCTCCTGTTAGAAGCTCTGCCTGTACTTAGAGCTATTTGCTCCAGCTGTGGGCAGGCCCAGTGGAGACCTGTCCTGAATGTGTCTCCCCTTCCCTTGCAGCCAGCAGGCTGCTCGTCTCATGCTGGCTCTGCTGAGTGGAGAGGACCTTCCTTCCCCCTGCTTCCCACCACCTCCTAAAAGCATCCCTATGCAGGGCCTTGTTAGCATGTTTGCCCACATCAGAGCAGGCTTTCCATAGTGCCTCTGAAAGGCAGAAAATAGGCAAAAGGGAGACACTGACACAGCTCTTTTAAAAGCTCTTGTCAAGCCTCTGGGCACATCTCTACCACCCTCTCCTCAGTGGAACCTCTGCCCCGGGGCAGGAAGGCTGAAACACTCTAGTTATTTTTTTTTTCCYTGCTGGGAACAAAAATGATCCAGTSTGCTGCCACAAGCAGTGTGGGTTTGCTAACCATGGCAGAACATGATCTTATTCAGCTAAACTCAGCTTAGGCTTCCTTCTGGGACAGCATTTGGCCTCCGTGTCACCTGAAGTGACAGTCCAACCCATGAGCTTGTACCAGGACTCTCATCTGTGCAGTGGATCCCAGTGTGGCCCCGCTCAGCTTCTGCTCTGCAGTTTGCTGGGGCRCAAGGCGAGCACCCAACACAGCCCTAACCCCAGCTGGAGCTCTACGATCCTCTCGGGGCCCCACATCTCCTCTCCCTGGTTAATCTCTGGGCAGCTTACCCAGATCTGCTTAAATGAACTGACCTGATTTGCTGGGAGCTGCAGCAGCCCCGAGCAGCCTGCTGCAATGAGTGACCAGTGTGTGCAAAAGCAGAGTGTCCCAACAAGATGAGATCTCCCCCACCTAGGGGCTTGGGGGAAGGAATGTGGAGGAGTGATTCCTATTAAAATCRGGCCTGAGTATAGGGCTAAAAATACATCAAAGATATTTGAGGCCCTTACAAGGACTAGGCTTGATTCCTCCCCATGAGGAGAGGGGATGTTTCACAGGAAGAGCTTTTTTCTTTGTTTTTAAATATCAGGAGCAACTTGGAAACCTCTCCTCCCATTCCCCAGTCTCCAGGAGTCCCCAAACAGTCATAGCACATGGGATGCAGGAGACAAGCTGCCCCTTCACTCCTCTACATGGTGAAGTTGTATTTGCAAGCAGTGGTCAAATGGACCCTCCTCCTCCTCCCCCTGCTTTCACTGTCGTGATGGAGAAAAAGAGCAGAGCCCTSGAGCTTGGGGGACAGGAGAGCACCACAACCAGCACAACCTGCCCGTCATTGTCTCTGGAGCTGCCTCCCCTCCGGGAGAGGGGCTCGCTCCCCCAGCTCCTCCTGCCTGCAGCTGGAGGAGCCTGTGCAGGTCTGCACATGAGATCCTGCCCTCCTTGAGCACTGCTTGCAAGCAGTCATGATGGCACCCAGGACGTGCTCCAGAGGGGCTGCAGGCAGCTGGATACTCTCRTCTTTCCAGGGCATTTTTCCCAGATACCTATAGCCCTGACCACATCCCATACATGATCCAGGGCCAGCTCCTACAGGAAAAGGGAGGTAGGAAGCTTTTTTTTTTTTTTCTCTCCTCTTTTTGCTTAAAATGGGGCAAGAGACAATGAGAGGTGGTAAAGAAAGATCACAKCACTGTTAGCGCAGTCAATACTCACATCTCCCTCACACTGAGCAAATTACAGAGAAACAAAACAAAAAGGTTAGTAAACAAAACAGCATTAACAGGAAGGACAAAGCACAAAGTCCGAGGGAAATGCATAAGCCCCAAACAGCAGCTCACGGGTCTGGGCAGCAGCCCAGGTGAGGGCAGGTGGTGACGCAGCAGCTGTGGGGACACGTTTGCACCACACAGGGGACAAGCAGCGAGAGACCAGTGAGCTGGGAGAGATGCRGCGCTTTGGGCCTGCCTGGTTGGAGAGGAATGTGACTGAGGATCCAGGCACGCTCCAGGGAGGACAGTGGTCTCCTCGTGCGTCCCCATGCCCAGGGCAGCAGGTCGGCCCTCCGTGCTGGGAGCTGCCACTCATGCCTTGTCTTCCGAGGGCCGGGGGGCAGCTCTGGGGCTGGGGGTGCTGCCTTTAGGCTGCTCTGGGGAAGTGCTGAGTGTCCCCAAGAGCAGCTGAGGTTGTTCTTGAGGGGTGGCCTCTCTTCAGGAAAGGTGGGACAAGGGGATGGCTGCACTGCTGGGTCACAGCTCAGCTCGGGTGACACTGAAAGCCTCAGGTTGCCCTGTTGTTGCTCAGCTACAGGGAAGCTCCTCGCCCAAGATCAGGCCTTTCCGCTGCATCTGGGATTGCTCCGTGTAGGGAGCAAGGCAAGGAGGGAAGGGGTCAATGAAGGAAGCACAGATGTCTGAATTCCTAGTCTGATTTAAGCCTAAGATAAAGTAATGGGCAGTATTTCCCTTTGAGTTTGGGGGCCCTCCCCTTCAGGAGGGAAACTGGGGACTTCAGGAATTACCCTCACTGGATCTGGGAGACCTGGCTGCTCAGAGGAGGCTTTTTCTTTTGTATTTTTCTCTTCTGCTTTTGATTACCCACGGCCTCGCTCGGGGTTTTTGCACAGAGGCGTGAGTGCTGTTAGCCGGTTGGACCTGCTGAGGGAGGCTGCCGAGCTCAGCACGACTTCCCCACGTTGGTTAGGGCTGGGGAGAAGGGAAGGCCCCAAGGAACCAGCCATCCAGGCAGCTGCGAGGCCAGAGGCCCAAGGAGATGGCTAGAAAAGGGGCTCCCGCCGGGACTCCCAGGCAGGTATCCCAGGAGGGGCCTGACAGGGATTCCTGCTTGTTTTGATTGCAGTGTTTGCTAGTTGAGTTTCCTAGGCTAGAGRCAGAGCTTGGCAAGTCCTTGTGCCCACAGGACAGCAATCTGCTTCAGCAAGGCCTTCCAGGGAGGCCCCCAGGGAGGTTTAAACAAGTCCTCAGAAGAGGAAGGCTTTTAGATACCAGCACAAGGCAGCCAGGAGCCACTGTCAGAAGGCAGGAGCTTGTCAAGTGAGAGTGTCCAGACTCTGGCAGCTCAGAATGAACTTGCTGAAACAACTACCCGATGGGAGGACATCTGAGGAACWGGCACAAGGCTCCTGCAAGCAGTTCCCTTATACCCCAGGCTGATTCTTCCTCCAGCCTTGCAGGACCCCCAACCCGTGCCTGCCAGAGTCAGGATTYAGTCGTGCAACCTGACTGTGTTGCTGAGAACTCGTTGCATTGCTCATATGAGCCAAAACCCAGGGCTTAGAAGGACAGAGAGAGGGATAAGGGTAGAAATTACCGCTGCTTTTGCCTCGGCAGCCTTGGCTTTCTTCAGCCTGGCTTTGCAGGCGTCCAGATCCAGGCGGCGGTTCTGCAGGATCCTCCGCTCTTTCTGAAAGGGACAGAAGAGGGGATTAGAACAGGTTGCTCAGCAGCTGTTGGGGAGGGAAGGGACAAAGTATCATCTAAAATTTGCTGTTTCCCTTTGCACCCACCCTCTGTGTGCGTGGTGACCTGCTGAGCTCCCTTTGTCGCTCCTGTACTTACAGAAATAGTTCTCCAGTCGCCCTCTAGGAAGTTGCGCAGCGGGGTGAGGAAGTTGAGGGAGGCACAGTGGATGAAGTCCCGTTCTGCCGCACCTAAGAGCCTCTGGGTCTCTCCAACCTTTATCAAGGTCTTCCCTGCAACGAYGGGAACTTTCAGCTCCAGGAAAAGCCAGTGCTGGCTTCAGCCAACTCCCCCAGGGTTAATAGGCCCCAGTTTTGTGGGACAAAAGGTGCAATTTGCCATGCCTGAGCAAGACGACCATGCCTCTATCCTGTTAGCTTCACAGTCCTATCTACCATCTGCCTTTAACCACTCCCAGTGCAGCTTTGATCTGATCTGTCTGTTGAGGCACTTATTCTACTGCCGTTCTTTTGCTACGACACCTGCCATGAACACAAAAYAGCCCAGGGACCTAGGCAGCATGAACTTTGTGCCCCGAATGTGTGGGGCTGGAGCAGAGGCACAGAAAAGAGCAGCAAACTAAAAACCATCAGAGTAGGAAAAGAGAAGAGTGTTCATTAGAATCCAGCTGAAGCGGGGTTGGCTACAGAGGCAGTTACAGCAGTCCTGCCTGCAACAGGACTCTCTATTGAGCAATTATTGATTTCAGAGAGCAGTGACACACAGCAAAGGAGGGACAAGGGCAGCTGGAATTTAAGGCAGTGTTTCTGTGTGGGTCTATTGCTTAAAGAAGCCCCCAAGGGAAGGGGAAATTTAGGTTTGAGAGGAAGAAAAATGCTCTGTATGGTYGGAAAGGGGACTGTTGAGGCCTATTGTCAAGCAACAGCAATCACAGCTCTACTTTTCTAGTCTCTAACTGCTGGAGAGAAATTTCCCCTYTCCTCTTGCAGGACACACTTAAAGGATAGTGTTGTTCCTGTTTTCTCAGCAGAACTAGAAACCCCTTTAAACAGTCAAGCCGGACAAGCCATCCAGTTTAACTCCCTGTTCATGCTAATTTAGAGAGCCATGGACATAGCAAAAGTGTTGCTGCACCTTGGCCCATTAGCTGATGTGAATCAGCATCCATTTCTCCTCTGGCCTGCTAGACTCGAGGACTATTTTAGGGCCTGGGAGCCTGCACAGATGATGCTTTGCTGCGGAGCAAGATTATCTTCCTGTCAAGGAGCCCATTTGCTGCTATACTGGAGCCCTTCCTCTGGCATCAGCTCTGACACTACTGAGGTAGGTGGCTGTGTGAGGCAAGGCAGGCTGCTCACTTGCAGGAGCCAAACTGCAAAAATGTTGACCCAAAATGTAGTAGCAGAAGCCTCTTGGGAAGAGAGAACCCGTAGGGCTGTATCAGGCTGACTTACCGTAAGGTGTCCCTGGTCCAAAGTCGTTAGCTGCCTCTGTCATGTACTGTGCCAGCAGCTCCCCGTTGGTGACGCGGGAAGGCACCTTCCGGTCAAGCTTTTCATACAGGAATTCTTCTACTCTGGCACCTGGGAAGAGGAGGCAGCTGCTGTTACAGGCTGGAGGACAGCCCTGCAAGTGGCATTTATGGTGTCCCACCTCGTGTAGGCTCCCAGTGTTCCCGGGAATGCAAGCCCCAGCACGGGGAGAAGGTGTCCCCTCCTCAGGAACACGGCCAGGCTCTCCTGTAGCTGCTCATCTCAGCTAAGTGAGGAGGAAGGACAGGCCCTGTCCTTCCCAGTTCCAACCCCCACAGCCTCAATGGAACAGGGCTCTCTGCCAGAGGACACCCTTTAAACCCTGTTTAAACTGCAACGGGGACGCTGCGTCCTTCAAGAACTCGGAAGGACCTGGGCTTACTAGGGTTTGGCTGTAGCAGAACCTCTGTCTGACGCAGGATCTTCTCCGTCCAGTTCTTGGTGCAGTCTGCTCTGGCCATAAGGTTCTCAAAGTGGGCATCTAGTTCGGTCTTCTCAGCTTGGCCCAGCTTTTCTTCTGTAAACTGCAGGAAGGAGATGGTCGTTAGAAGGTTGGTTCTACTACAGCAAAGTTAGTGTGCTGTAAAGCTCAGAGAAAGTGAGGCYTTCCTTATGCATCTCTCTTAAAGTGGAGCTAAAAAAGCTTTCAAGGTATCATTCTTTGTTTCTAGGCAATTTTATTGGTTTTTTTCTCTCTAAAAGTGGAGCAAGCACTAAGCTGAAGCGGAGTCGAGGTTTGAGATGTGCTCCACCATGAGCAGCCCTTTATGAGGAAGCGGTTTGGTACAAAAATACTCCAGTTTCAATCATGTGCACATTAAACCAGACTGATTCTCAGCTCATGCAGGAGAGCAAAAACCCTTCAGGTGAGGCAAGGTGCCAACACCAACTCCTGCCAAGCAACTGCAAAGGGACCCAAAAGGGACCCAACCTGCAAAGGGACCCTACCTKCAAACCCAAAGGGACCCAAAATTCTGCTATCAACTCCCAAGTCGGGCTTTTTTCCTGGCTTATCAGACAACTACACATGCTCCTGTTTCACTGCAGGGCTCAAGTGCCATCTGACAGGCGCTGCATGAAGAGAGGCCAAGTGCTGCCTCCCAGCCCATCTCCTGCCTTGCTGGCAGTGAGCGGCCAGCTGAGCACGTGGGGTGTAAGGAGGCTTAAACTCAGGATTTAAAGTAGAAACAAAGTAGAAACGTGCCACTAAGTGACATTTTTTTTTCAACTCTTGCTCTAGGCCATGTGTTGGTTGGGCAGGCTCTGTACGCCCAGGGTAGGGAGGGAAATGCTGGTGTCCGGCTTTGCTCAGCATCCAGAATCACCCTGGCAGACTCTCCCCTTCCCCCTGTGATCCCTGTAAGTTTAAAATTAGCTGCAAGGAGAAGCAGGTTGTGCAGGTCTGTGTTTTCACACTGGGCAATGACATGTGAGATGCAAGATGGAGCGGTGGCAGATGGTGAGGGGCACCCCCCTGTTGCTTCTCTGGGAGATTTGTGACAAAAGTCTATTTCCCCCCCAAAAATTTAACTTTTTCCTCCTAACTTGGCCAGCTTTATTGCATTTTTTAAGCAGAAGTTCAGTGTAGTATTGTTAGCAGACCTGTAATGGTGACAAGCACAGAAACGACCAGCGTAGGCCTCCTGTGATGGAACCTAAGCTGCCGAGTCAACCTCAGAGCAGAGGTCCCCTGAGATCCACGCAGTGTGGAGAAGGATAATTTGGTCACAAAATATATGCAAAAACAAAAGCCCTGCAGTTATCTCATGGCTTGGGAGAGGTCTGGCTGTGTATGGAGGAGCCCCTGACTCCTGATGGACGTTGGTGTCTGGCTGGGCTGCACCTTGCTGGTGCCAGTGTCTTGCTGGGCTGCACCGGGAAGGCCTCTCTGGATGTTTTCTCACTCGGGATCCTGCAGACCTTGCTGTTCTCCCGGTCCTTGCTGCTGATCTCTGGTGTTGCTGCTCGGTTAGCAGACCGTGGCACAGCACAATACCTGGCACGGGCAGATGCCCGGAGCTTCCAGCCTCCTAAGAAACATTCAGTTCCAGCACAGCCCCAGGCTGAGCTTCAGGCTCTACCTCTTCTCCCCTGGTTCAGCTCTAGGTGAACTGGGCAGCCCTTTCCATGGGGTCTTGGCCTGGTGCCCACTGTCCCTCCCAAGAGACTTTCTGTCCAGCTCCCTTCCTGCGCTCCCTGGCCGYGCTCGCGTGCGGAGCAACGCGGAGAACAGGGCGAGATAAAGTGGGTGCCCAGGTGGAGGGCACGATGCCCTCCCGGAGTCCTCTTACCCTGTGTAAACATTACTAGATGTCCGAGATAGGGCAGCGCCGCGGGGCTGTTTGCACAGCACCCTGCTTGGGCAGGGCGGTGCTACCCTGGGGATTACTCTGTGGGATTTGCCGGAGGCGGACACGGAATCACAAGGGCATTTCCACTCCTGCTCCCAGCCTGGTGGGGACAGGAGCTGCAGAGCCTCGCGCAGCTGTGGGTTGTTAGCTAAAACCAGCATCAAATGATGCCAGAAGCAAATCCTAGATAAGAGAGCAGGGTAGGACCTGTTTCCTAAGGCTGACCTGCAAGGGGCTCAACCATGGGCTGTGCGGGAGCTGCTGCCAAAGCTCCTCTCCCTCCTCTCCCAGCCGCCGGGGGCCGGTTTTGACTCAGCCAGGCTGGGCTGAGTCACAGCCACGCAGCAAATGGGGCCTTCCCAGGTACCTGGCCCCAATACTTGGGTCTGTTTACGAGCTTTTTTTTTTAACAAGCTGAGACTCTTTGATGCAAATGCACAAGTCTCCCTTGCTCCCCTGTAAGGCAGCTCTGAGGTCTCACSTCCAAGTCGGGCTCTTTCCCGCAGCTCAGACATCCTGCCCAGGCAYGTGCCCTGGGTTCCTGCTCACCGGGGTTTATTGGGCTTTGCTGCAGAGTCTGTTCCCTGCTGAAACCCTCCAGCAGCTCCGTGCTGCTCTAGTTGGGGTCCTTGATCACTACAGCCCTCGGGCTCCTTGCTGCAGTCACCAAATATCCCCTTGCTGTTTTCCATGACCTTCTCCTCCTTCCAGCGCACGGAGAGCCTGGGTCACCCCCGGCACCTGCCCGGGGAGCAGCCGCCCGGCGTCGCTCGCCTCTTATCTCAGAGGAGCCGCTGAAGCCGCCTGTGTCGCAAGGAGGCCGAGGACGTCACCGATGGTCACTGCGAGCCACCAAGGGAGGATGGGCAGCAATTTGAGCCCCAGCCTACGGATGTAAAAGGTCAGGCCAGAAAACAGTCCCTTATTCAGGCGGAGGCAGAAAACAGGGCGCGGAGGGGACGAAGTGGGCGCGGGAGGCCGCATGGGGCACGAGGCTGCAGCTCTGCTTCCAAGCAGGTCCCTGGGCAGTGAGGGGAAGCTCCATCTGTGCTGCGAGGCTCCCACCTGGGCGCTGTCTCACCGTGCAATTCCCACGTGGACTGGAGCATTTATCATGAGYGGGACGTATGACTGGGGCAGGGAAGCACGACGTCTTCCAGGAGCAGCTTGCAGGAAGCTCAGACCAAGCACAGGGACTGAGGGAGATCACAGAACCGTATCAGCTTACCCTGTAAGCTGCTGCTTTCTGATGTCGGCTATCCGTAGGGGTATAGTTCAAGCAGCAACAGGTCTCAGCTGCTGGTGCCTTCTTACATGGCTGCCTAAGTGTCCCTGATGAACACGATGCTGGAAGAACAGCAGTTCATGAAGGCTGGTTACTTAAGCCCCCCAAGCAAAGTGCCCTCCCCTCACTTACAGGATTTCTGTTTCTAATAATCGGATTTTCTACCACTTCCAGAAATGTAATTCCATTTTTCCTTCTCGCTGTCAGGCTTTGATTTGATAGYGGGGTTGAAGATTTGATAGAGGGGTTGAGAGCTGCAGATGAACAAACTGATCTTCAAGCTTTCCGTGTAGAAAGAGACAGACTAAAAATATTTAATCATCTCGCTGCTTCTAYACTAGAAGCATTGCTGACTTGTGCAGCTCCAAATATTTCAGATGCCTTCATATTGAAGCCTTATTTCACTTATGGGTTTGGTTCTGCTGCAACAGGACTTGACATTTTGCCTGGTTTCTAGAGCTGATGGTTGGGGCAATAATCCAGCCCTGATCCAACGCCAGGACCTGCATCCTGGGATCACAGGCCAAATASTGGTGCTTAGAGGCTCCCTCCGTGCCCTCCTGCAGGAAACATCCCTGCAGCTGGATTGGCTGAGCACTAGTCCAGTTTTTGTGCAGGGAACGGAGGATTAATAATGATTAATAATGCAGGGCGGCCTTTTGTGCAGCGCGACGCTCGTGCTCCGGGAAGGAGAGCTCCGCTGCCTGCCAGGGCATCAATAATTCAKCCAAAGGTTGGGTTTCCTCCGGGAGGCTCGGCCAGCCCGCCGCATCACTGGATCCATTAGCGGGGCTGTGCGGATGAGCAGGATGATAGAGCAGGAGAGCAGTACTGGGAAGGAGGATTGCAAAAGCAAGCGGACCGTGCTGGACGCTGCACTTGGGGCAGCTGCCTGGGGTCACCTGGGGGGACTTCTTTCCCCCCAGGAGTTGGGGGAGACACTGCGGGGATGCCAGGAGGGGCAGCAAGGGGGACAGGCCCCCTCTGCTCCACAGCTAGAACATCAAAGAGCCTCTGCCTGCAGCCCTAGTGACTCAGGCCACCAAGGCTAGGCTTTAAAAACAGCACATGCCTTTTTTTTTTTTTTTTTTTGCTAGAACAATCAGCATCTTTTTACATTTTCCATGTAAAATGGAGGGAAATAATCTCAGTGTTTCTGGTGACCTGTGTGAGCATCATGTCCGTTTTGCACAGGTTAGACCTGTAGAGATGCACTGCATGGAGCTGGGAGCTGCATCTCCCCTCCTGCATGCACAAAGGGAGCACTACAGGGTGGCTCCAGCTCCTTGCAGAGAACCTGGTGGGAGAGTTCAGGCCCTTTTCAAGGACTCCAACTGGACAACCCTTATCAGACATCGTTAAGGGCAGTGGTGTTTCCCCCTTAATCCGCAAGGCTTGAACCAGACCTAGGAGTCTTAAATCAGGAACTGGGTTTCCTGCATCTGCCTGTAACTTTGGGCCAGTGGATTTTCTGAAGCTTGAACAGCTTTGTAGTGCCCAGGTTATTGTAAGAATTGCTCTTTGGGTGGTCAGGGGCATGAAAGGGTCTGTTTGGGCAAGCGTGCAAGCTCACGCTGTGCAGCAGCACATGAGAAACGCTGCTGTAGCCACGCAGCATCTGAAAACCTACTTGAACTTCAGCTGCTCTGGACCGAGTAYGGGGCTGATTCAGGCATTTGGTCACCTGGAGCCAGGAAAGGCAGGACGTGAGCCAAGCAAAACTGTGTTAGAGGACACAWGGAAGTCATCAGCAGCACAGGAGCAAGGCATTCAGCAGAGAAACTGCCCTGTGCTCATATGTTCCCCCATGCATGTTCTGGCCTGCACCTCTTGTCTTCACTTCCCTTTAATTGCACTCTGTTTTATTTTGCATTTTGAAGTGCCAGATCCAAACCATTAACTCCTGTAAGTTCATGACAGCAGAGCTTAAAAATCTATTTTATTCCCTGAGTTCAGGAAGATGGGGATGTTAGTCCTTGCATTGAGGAGCTGCAGGAGGGAGCAAGTCAGACTGTAGCTGCCAGCAGTAATTGCATTAGCAGGAGGCTAAGCACCCAAAATCCATACTCATGCCTGGGCAGTTCCACCCAGCGCCAACTCCCATCAGCAGTGATGAGACACAGGCACCTTCCAGACGTCCCTGTCCCTTGCAGACATCCCTGGGAAGGGCTGGCATGTGGACTGGCTGGAGCACAGGCAGCCAGRGAGTCATCTTTGTGGCCAGAGAGGCCAGGGCTGGAGCCAGATTGGAGCTCTGACCGCAACAGTCTGGGCATCAGACCTGCTTACAGACCACTGGAAATCCAGCGTGCAGGTGGGAAAGCCTTAGTTTTATTCAAGGAAAGAAATTACCATTTGTTTGAAGTTCATCTGCAGGCCCCAGAGCAGTAGCTGCTGGGGTGGATGAGGTGTCCGTGYAGCTCATGYCTGGGTGGGAGGCAGTCACAGAGTGGCTGAGGTTGGAAGGGGCCTCTGGAGACCATCTAGTCCAGGCCCCTGCTCCAGCAGGGTCACCCYGAGCACAGGGCAGCATCCAGATGGGCTTGGAAAGTCTCCAGAGAAGGAGGCTCCACAATCCTACAGCAGCTCTTTTCCCCCTGCAGCTTCCCAAGCAGCTGCTCTCCCACTCCCAAGGCAGAGGAATGCATTGCCTGCATCTTCCCACTGCACTCCAGCCTCAAAACCTACCTGCTCTCCTAAAGGAGARGACAGGAGATGCCACAGCATCCAGACCCTGCCTTGCCAGGGAATCAGTGCAACCCTAGGCAGACAGTAGACGCTCATACAATTTTGGGGAGATACTGCACAGCTTTTGTCATCATCACTGTGTTCTGGTCAGGCTGCAGAAGGGTTTGGGCTCGTCTGCTTGAGCACAGCTCCTCCAAACTGCCCTTCTTGCCTAGGAGCCCTGCTACCTGAGCTGGCAAAGCCATTCAAGGGCAGCAAGGTGTTTTTACCACTAACCAGGCCAAGTCTAGGCCTAGGTCTAAGACCTCCCAGCTCGTCAGCCCGCGTGCGCATCAGGTTGTACGTGCCAGGGCTCCGGGAAGCCACCTCGGCCAGCCAGCGGCTGCTAATGCCACCTGCACAGCGCAGCTCGTTACAGCCAGGCCATTTATCTCCCACTCGCTGCAGTTCCAGTAAAAATCACTGTTAAATGCTTGGAGCTGAGGAAAGCATCCCCAGTGCYAGAGAAAAACAGAGCTTATTCCAGGTTTTCTAGCACTGTGGAAGATCTGTGCTAAGACAACTGCTAAAACCTAAATCCTCACTGCTGATAGCAAACCTCAAGTGTCACCTGTTCCTTGGTGCAGACAGGGCAATGCTCAACTGCCCCAGGGACACAACTCTACACCCAAATCCCATCATTTTCCCCAGCAATTGCATTTCAAGAGGTGGTTCTCTGCATCCACAATCCCCATCCTCCCAGTCTGCTGTAGTTATACAAACACCAGCACACACTCGAGTCCTAGGGCCCCTGTGCTGCTTTGTCTCAAGTAATTACTCCTGTAATTAATCACGTGGATCTTCATACGCGAGATGATAGGGAGTGGGTGTAGCAGGCTGCAGCCACTATTTTTAAGTGCCTCCCTGCTCTAGAATCGCTGCGTGCAGGCGCTGTTCCCATGCCCAGCTCCTTCCCACGCCTCCTAGGAGCCTGATAAACGGTTCTTAGCTTCAAGAGGGCTCCCAAACATTTGATTTCTCTGCAGCGTTTCTTCCTTTTCTCTGCTTACCAAGGTCGTTTGCATGAGAACAGCATCTCTGAGCTCTTCACCTGCTCCGCATCTCGCGCCTGTATTTAATACTTCTCTTCCCATAACACATGAGTCACCGGCACAGTAACAGGGGCTGATACCTGCTTACAGSAGGCCGCTTTCTCCAAGAGCCCAGGTTATTCCATTGCATGGGATGGAGCCGGCGCCGATCCGGACATTATTCACCCCGATATCARAGGGGGAAGGAGGCGCCCGGGAGCCACCAGCCGCATTTCCATCCTCAGGGAGGATCCCAACAAACTCCACAGCGGCCTCTCCTTCTCCGGCCGCTCCAAGGGCGGCTCCCRGACACGGCAGCAGGAGCGGAGGTGCCCGGCAGCCTGTGCCCACCTGGGGCTCCCTGGGCTTCATGGGGGTGCAGCTTCCCCTCCTGCCGTTAAATCCCGGTGCATTTTAACCCCGCCAGGCCCCAAAGCGGGGTTTCGCCAGGGCCTGTGCAGCTGCCAGCCCCCGGTCCCGGCAAATGCCCGGGCAGGGAACGGCGCCCGCTGGGCCTGGCCCCACAACACAGGCCATTACCCGAGGAGATGCTGGTGGAAAATCAGCTTTCAGGGACAACAACCATCACTTGGGCTGTTACCACCACACTGTCCTTCTCCTCCCCGCCAAAAAATAGAAAAAAAAGGGGAAAACCCCAAAAATCCATTTAGCCGAAGCCTCCCTGGGGCTGATTTCTGGGATTCTTTATTTCCCCCCGGGATGCCCCGGCCGCGCCGCCGCTCACCTGCACGGCGCGCGAGAAGAACACGCCCGCGTCCGACGCCAGCTTCTTCACGTTGAAGTCCATGGCGGGCGCCGCCGCTGCAGCCGCCCCCGCTCTGGCGGCGCCCGCCGCGCGCCGCGCCCTTTATAGCGCCCAGCGATGCGCTCCGCGCGCCGCCACGCTGCCTCTTAAAAGGGCCGCCGCTGCCCGCCTCGCCGCCGTGCCCCCCCGCGTGGCTGGCAGCGCTGCCTCAGCCGCGCGGGCGGCCTCCTGGCTTGGATGAAGGGCTGAAGCGCTGCGGGAGGAGGCGCGATGCGGTCGGCGCTCGCGGCGGGGCCGGGGAGCGGTTCAGCGCGCTGGGCCCGCCACGGGGSCCATGGCCGCTTTAAGCGGAGCCACCGCCTGGAGCGGAGCTGTCAAGTGCCGCCGAATGGGCACTCGCCCCGCCCCCCTCGCTGCTCAACCGCGCTCGCCGCCGCAGCGCCTGGCCGGGCCCGGCGGAGACACGCGATTGGTCCTGGGGGAGGCAGTTCGCCGCGCGGATTGGTCCGCGGCAGGCCCCGCCCCGCCGCGGCAGGCCCCGCCCCGCGGCGCGGGTAGGCTGCGGCGCGGGGGAAGGAGACGCTGCCCTTCCGCGGCCATGGCGCGCGGCGGGGCCGGGGCGCGCGCGGCGGAGCCCGGCACGGTGAGCACGGCCGGAGGGAGCGCCCGGGGGCGGGCCGGGCAGCCCCGGGGCGATGGCGGCGGCCGCGGCCCGCGCTCGGGCGCCGCGATGTCCCCTTCCCCCGCGCGCGTCCCCCCGGTCCGTCCGCTGCACCGCGCTGCTCTCGCCTCCCCTCCGCGGAAACGCCGCGTTTGGCCCCGCGCCGGGAGCCCCCCGCGCGAGCCGGCCCCTGCAGCCGCAGCGCCGAAGCGTTCCCAGCGTTTCCAGCCTCGCTGCGTTGGAAGGAAACGCCCGGGTTTCGGCTCGGCGGGGCGCCCGCCCGGCCCCCCTGCTCCCAGCGCTGCTAAAGCCCCCGCTGCTCTGAAGCCCCCTCTGGGCCTGGCTTTGGAGCAGGGGCCCGCCAGGTCACGGAGCTGAGCGGCGAGCAGGGTTTTCCCAAGTGTATATGTGTTTTTTGGGGAAAAAAGGGCTATTTTTACAGTGGGACTGCAAGCAAAAGCCCTTGACTACACCCAGCCACTGCTGGTGCGTTTGGAAGTCTCTGGTGGAGTCYCAGCTCTCGTGTTCATGGATGCACCGGCATTCCTAGTTTGGGAATGGGCCCCTGCGGTTGTTGGAGATGCGGAAATTGCCGCTGTCCGAGGAAACATTCAGGCCTCTGCTCTTTGGTCCGAGCTGCTGCTCTGAGCCYGCTCCCCGTTCGGAAACGCAGTTGGAAGGGAATTCGGAAGGGAATTCAAAAGGGAATTCCCTTCTCTCACCCATTTCTCCCACCTTGTGCAGGAAGAGGATTGCAGGGTGAAGACTGACCCTTGGACCCGCAGGCAGGCGTCRACGGCGAGCTGGGATTCCCTGTGAGCAGCTGTCCCGGTATCCGCAGGCGCTCGTCCCCGCGGAGGCTCCCGAAGGGGCTGGAATCCTCGTGCGGAGATGGCCTTTCAAAGGACCGAGGGCATGTCCCTCATCCAGGCCCTGGCGATGACGGTGGCAGAGATCCCYGTGTTCGTTTATACAACGTTTGGACAGGTATAAGAGACCAAAAAAAGGCTTTTCTGACTGTTTTCTCCTATTTTCTTTTTGGGGAAAGCCTTTCTTGCCTACAGAGAAAAAAAAAATATAAGGAGTCAGCTTTAGTTGAGAGGAACAGAGGCCCAGTGGGATGATGCAGGCAGCATTTAGCAATTTTCATGCATCCCACCAGGCAGAACTCTTGGATTTTACCTTTTTTTGTCCTCAAAGTTACTAAAACAAGATGTTAATTTTAAAGATGACTAATATACTTTCCTATTTTAATAAGGCAGCACGTGGGACAATAAAGCTCCGTTATGTACTGAAATTTCAGAGCTGGATGTGGATAAGTTGGATCCCAGCTGGAACTGACTGGATACCAACTTTGCAGGGCRTTTTGATAACGTGCACATGGAGACCACGTTCTCCAGGTTCTCTCCGAATGAGGCTATGAACTTTGTATTTAGTAATTTAGTATACTAGTAATTTAATATATTAGTATATTAATAATTTAGTATATAGAGCTATTTAGTAATATTTGTATAGCAGGGGTTGTGTTTTGCAGGTGGGAAAGAAAATACCAAAATACATTTCAGATCTGTGATCTTTTTAAAAAAAAAAAAAATGTTAGAATTAGTTTTTCATTGTTGCTCTTTCATATTTTTTGTGTTTAAAGTCTGTCTTCTCTCAGCTGCGGCTCTCTCCAGGCCTGCGTAAGGTGCTGTTTGCTACAGCTCTTGGGACGGTTGCCTTGGCTCTTGCAGCTCATCAGCTCAAGCGGCGCCGGCGTCGGAAGAAGCAAATCGCCCCGGAGAAATGCGGCATTAAACCTGGCGGGATAACGGTGCCCATCTTGCCAACCAGAAGGTTTCCTTCTGTGAAGAAAGGTTGGCCTTGCAGAAAGGGGAAAAAATCCAAATGCTTTAAGTGAGGGTGCAAAGGGAATAGTATTAATGTGGTTCAAGGAAAGAGGGTGTCCTGGGAGTGATGGGACTATGGWAAGATGCAGGCAAGTGGGAGGAGAGGGAAGCAAAGCAGTTTCTGTGCAGTGTATTGATGCAAAATGAAATTAAGAACCTAAAASAGTGTCCATGGAGAGACAGAGGAGGAAAAAGAGAGACCTGTTACAAAGGTTTGTAGTTCCCACCCCCCTGCACACAGAAAGACTGTGTCCCCATTAGGCCATGCAGTCCCCAAGCCCTAACAGCCTCGAGCAGGCACTGACCTGGCTCTGTATTGATCCTGGCAGTGCCAGGGTGGCACCTGCACAGCTGCCTTGGTGGGGCTGGACAGCAGAGGAGAAGGTGACATGGGATGAAGTGAGGACGTAGGAGTGTTCATCCAGCTCCAGGCTGGGCTCCCTGACCTTGGGCAGCTTCTTCCCCTGCTGCTTTTGGGGCGAGACTGACCCAGCTGCCCAGCAAAGCGCTACCGGGCTTAATGTTATGAAATGTGTGAAAATCTTGCAGCGTGTTGAATAATARCCAAGGGAGTCCTGCCTGTGCTGGCAGCTGCTACGTCAGTGCTCTGATGTGCCCGGGGGAAGCTGGAGGAGTTTGACTCCTTGATGCTTTCCATTTGAACTTGCCTTTAGTCACTGAAAGAGCTGAATATTCATCCCACAACCTYAGTTCCCCATTAATACTGACTTTCCCAGTGTCTCAAAGCCAAATAGAGAATACAGCAGGTCCATGACTCATTTCTGGGTGCTGGAAGCTGCTGTAAAGTCACACTCGACAGGGCGCTGGTCCCCTCCCTGTTCACAGCTGCAGCAAATTGCTTTGCACCAGGTTTTCTCCTGTCTGCAGTAGTTCTCTGCATGAACTGCACTCTCTTGCAGGGACCCCATGTGCTCTTAGTGGAACCACAAGTGTCAGGAGAGCTTCTGTGCTCTGGGTGAATAACCACCTAGCCTAAAAGCCTGGTTTTGTGTCCCCAACTGCAGGATACTCCAGCAAGAGGGTGCAGAGCCCCAGCAGCAAGAGCAATGACACGCTCAGCGGGATTTCCTCCATCGAGCCTAGCAAACATTCCAGTTCATCCCACAGCCTCGCCTCGGTAAGGAGCCCGCTCGGGTGTGTGGGTGTAGCTCCCTACAGCAGCATCACCGCCTCGTTTGGTCATCACAGGTGATAATTGGAGGGTAGGTTCCCATCATAACTTTGCAGTGAGTGGCTGGAAGGAGGATTCGGGCACTCCTGCCTCTATAGGGGCTGCTCATGGGTTGGCCAGCGTGGACCTATAGCTGGAGATCGCAGTGGGTATTTTATATAGGGTATTCMAGGCTGTCTAGCAGAGGCAGAGAGCAGACTTTATAGCACTTGGTGGTTCTTGCTTTGGATTGGAAGCGAGAAACTTAGGCACTGTCACCTGTGTGGGTGCTCCAGGCCAGCAGGGAAGCTCTAAAGCTGCTTAAAATTGCTCCATACTGTTTTTCAAACCAAGTTAGCTACCAAAACCAGCTAGTTCAGGAAATGGAGCCGTGTGAGAACATGGCCTAGTGTTTTTCCTACCGGCAAAGCCAAGAACAACCTATAAATACAGGTATTTCAGGCTTGACTAAGCCAGAGAAGCCATCACCACTTACACGCACCTCCCTGGGACCAAAGGCAGAAGCACTGGGGAGTCTTTATGGCTTTGATCCCCATTGCTCAAAGCCTGTCCTGTTCCACTGGAGCAGCAGTGAAAGCGCTAGAAACTGGTCTTGGTTTTGGCATAGAGGTCTAGAAACTGGTCTTGGTTTTGGCGCARTGGGCTGGAAACCGGTCTTAGTTTTGGCGCAATGGGCTGGAAACMGGTCTTAGTGTCAGCATAAAGGGCTAGAAACCGGTCTTAGTTTTGGCATAAAGGGCTAGGACCTAGTCAGAACCCAGGTTGCCGCCGTGGAGGGGTCCAGCAGGCGGCAGTGCTGGCACAGCACAGGGTGTGCAGGGCTCCCTGCGCCAGCACCCACTGAGCTGGGACATGGTGGGAGGGCTCCTGGGCCGGGTCAGCGCAGACCCGGCTCTATCCAGCCCTGGCCTCTCCGCGTCCCGCTGCGCTCACATCCGCTCAGCTCCTCCGGGGCCTCTCCCTTCCCACACATGTGGGCTGTGTTTTMCACAGTGCTGAAGTCTCTCCTTTGGGGCCTGAGGAGGAATTTGCCAAGCAAATGCAGGGTTTACAGGTTATCTGTAATTTTGGTGGACAAGAAATAAATCCAATGAATACAAAGCCAGCAAACCCCTGAGTTTGGGATCCACTGTTTCCCAACTGACCTAGTGAATTTGCCTGTGGCAGAGGGATGAGGAGCTAGCAGCAAAAGTCAGCCTCCGATTGGGTTTCTGACTGTGACTTAATCCATTGGGGAATGTAACTGCTGGCTTCCGTAACCATATATATAACCATAACTGCTGCAAATGCACCGTTTCAGAACCTGCTTTCTGTATTTGTGAACTACGTCCTCTAAATTTCTGCTGAGATCCAGGCTAGGAAACACTCTAAATTCTCTTTTTAACCACTGCTTATGCACAACTGAGGGGTCGAAAGAGAGCGATCTCTTTCTGTATCCACTTTTCCTGGGATGGGGACAACACTTCTATGACATTGTGCTCGTTGTGTTAGTTGATGGGGAAAAGAGCTCAACCCTCACACAACTGCAGTTTTTTGCACACTTTTACCTGCTTCCCTCCGTTCTTCCTTGCCATCTGGTAAAGAAGTCAGCAGCAGTGAATTGCTGACCTGCAGATCTGGACCTCAAGGTGATTTATTAACATTCCTGAAAGATTAATCGATGGAGGGAAGGCTAGAGAACATCTATGAGCTGTTCACTTGTAGCTTGTTTTCTAGCATCAGGGTCTTGTTTGGACATCTTTTACTAAGCCATAGGGACTGGAAATCTTTTCTTTCTACCTCTGTTTTAAGACAAAAAAAAAAAAAAATCCAGTCAAAAGCTGATTTAGCTGATTTAGCAGAAACTGAATGTGCTGTGTAGGTCACCAGCATGTCCTGGTAGGTGMAGCTTGAGCTGGAGCAAGGTCTGAGCACCAGTGCCTTAGAGTGTCTGAATGAAGGGAAGCTCTTAACCCGTCTTGTCCTGTCTGGTGCTGCCAAGGTCTCCAAAAACACTTGGCTCCCTGAGCCAGGAAAAGGGGATTAATTTTGCTGGGTTAGAGAATTGAAGTCATTGAAGGGCCCTGGAAGCTCAGARCTGGCACAAAGCTGGGCTGTAGACACAAGCCAGGTGAGAATTCTCAGGTGGGCTCAGCCACAAGTGGCATCAAAGCCTGAATCCTTAACACCTTCCCCTTCAAAAGCAAGGGAATAGGAAAACCAGGCAGTCACCACAGGGGACGTGGGGAAGGRCAAATCTTACCATTCAGATTTACCTGGTGGTGGTGCTTGGGTGGTTTCACCTCTGATTCTGCCCTTGGAGACAATTCAGAAGGCATTTGCTGCTGCCCTCCTGCAGATAGCAGCAGTGAACTCTTCAAGTCCAACGCCAGCATCAGCAGGGCCATGGGACACCCAGGCAGCAGGAGAYGCTGGAGCAGCTGGCGATTCCAGTGCAGAGAGTCTCTACGTTCAAGGTAAACAAGAACAAGCACCTAGCAGCACCTTGGGAGGGTCGAGGGCTCTCCAAAGAGCTTGGGGAGCTCTTTGCAAGAGCAGAAGTCGTATGGGAATTTGCATCGAGCTGTATTGGTACCGTATGGTTGCACCTTTGTGCTCACAGCAGAAAATCCCTCCCACCTTTAACTTAAACTCAGGCCCTCGAGAGCTAGAAAAATTCCACTTGCACTTAAAGACCAACAGACACAAGTTTTCTCTGTGACCTCAGTGAATAATTTATTTCTAAGATACTGTTCTTCCAACAACAGCTTTGTCTGTGACTTTAATGTGGAGAGTAGTATTTTGAAAGTAATATGCTTGATGTTTTAATTGTTTTGGGGTTCCACATTAACTTCTAATACAAATTAAACCCCATTTGAAAGGSAAAGGCATAGAGTAAATTCAATCTTCTCCATCGGTTTGGGAGAGGCTTTTCTCTTCGCTGGCTTATCCGAGTGAGTGAGTGAGGATGCTCCCTGATTCACTCCGTTCCTGTGTGGCTCTCACAACTTGCATTTGGTCCCATCGCCAGGCATGGAGCTGTTTGAGGAGGCCCTGCAGAAGTGGGAGCAGGCACTGAGCATCCGTCAGAGAGACAGCGCCAGCACCAGCACCCCGGTGCCCTGGGACAGCAGGAAACACCACGAGTCCATGTCTGAGGACGTTCCAGAGGTAGGTCCTGACTCTTTCCYCTGCCTTTGCCAACAGAAAGGATGCTAGACCTGGTAGGATTGAGCACTGAAGAGCAAATTCAAGGCAGAGTTGGGCCCCACTATTTAAGAGCTGTCTGTATCTGCAGCTTCCTTATCCAGATAGTGTGGGTGTGTTTTTAATTTCTTCTTCTTCTTTTTAATAAGCTTCTCCCCCTCACTCTCCAATGTTTCTACCCACCTTCTGCATTAGCATCTCATGTCAGTCGCTGTCACCGTGCAGGGAAAGGCTGTAGCAAACACATCACCTGAGAGGTAAAAATAGCTTTCTGCCTGGCGCTGTTGTGTCTGTAGCTTGCTAACACATTTGCAAGTGGAACTCTTGATTGTCACTGTCGCTGGGAGGAGAAGCAGAGGCCAGATGCCTCGGTGCATTAATGAGTAAAGCTAAGTGGTAACGTGGTAGGAGCTAATTGTGCCCGTCTGCTGAGCAAGTGGGACAGGGGGACGGGTGGCTCCTGCTACCTACAGCTGCAAAACAAGTATTTTAGGACGATATAGTGTTGTCTTGGACCTGAGGACTATTCTGGGAAGATAAAAGGGGAGCTAAAAAGGCTCAGTGGTGACCACAGAGCTAAAAAGAGAGCAGCTGTAGCCCAGGATCACGAGAGGAGCTGAACTGTGAACTCTGCAGGAGTTTGTGCTGGTGAAAGACGTTCCCAGGCTCTTATAAACAGGGCCTGGTGCAGTATGTGCATGTTTGTCTTTTGTGGTGRATAATATTTATCCATGTCAAATCTGGATTCTCTTCTTGCTGTCTCTCCTTGAAGTGCCCTGTAGTGTTTCCTCTACAGCCTTAAAAACAGTTGCTTCACTATCAAAATAGATTTTATGCTGCTTTTTAGTCCTTCTATCTGCCCAGTGAGATTTTCATGCAGAGACAGGGTGTGAAGGCCAGATGCTGTGCARGTTTTTTTATTATTCTCCTTCATTGTTTCTACCTCCCTGTCATAACAGCAAACTTTGCTTATGCCCAGCACCTTATTCCAAGTGCTCTTAATTCTCTTGTCCAGCTCTGCATACTGTGTTGTATCCAATAGTTTCCTGATGTGAACAAACATTCCCTCTTGAAATTAGGCAAAAGTTACAAGTAAAGACAATTAAGTGACCTGTAATTCATTAAAAGGCCTGTCTGGATGGCAAGTTAAAGGTTTTTATGTATTTTTTTTATTTTTCTTAAAATAATGCCAGTGTTTGTGTAGGCTGTGTAGCTTCCCTCTTCCCTTGCATTATTAGCTGTACTGTAGGATTAATTATTATTATTATTTTTTTAAACAGTTAATCTCCAAGCCGTAAATCCTATTTAACTGAGAATTTCCTTCCATATTTGTGTTGTCAATCTGTCTCTGTCTGGGGGGTAATTAACAGCGACATTTGTGTTCAAAAAGGAGGCCCAGAAAGCAGAGTTTGCCGAGAAGCTGGAATCCCTCTTGCACCGAGCCTATCACCTGCAGGAAGAGTTTGGCTCTTCGCTTCCCTCTGACAGCATGCTGCTGGATCTGGGTGAGCCGAGCATGGGAACAGGCTTAGAAATTAATTAAAAGGACTGTTTTTCTCTTTTTTTTTTTTTTTTTGATGCTATTTCTATTAACCAGGCAATGAAGTGGTGAAGAAAGTAACTTTGTGGGAGGGTGAGAGGGAAATGCAGTGGTCAAGAAGAATAATGGTCTGTCCAGTTTRCTGCACGTGCATTTTTTTCCTCTTCTCCAGAGAAGACTCTAATGCTTCCGTTGGCAGACGGGTCCCTACGGCTTCGGACAGATGATGAAGACAGCTCCATTTCTGAGGATTCCTTCTTCTCTGCAGCAGAGGTGACTTATGTTTCCAGTTGCATGTCAACATCTGCTGATGGTGGGAGGGGAGCGGCAAAGACAGTGGCTCCAAAGACATCTTGTTAGAGGAAGATGATAAAACATGGAGCAGCAGCCCCAGGATGAGTCGCTGGAGGTTCATGTTGAACTTTAGGAAAAACTATTTCACTAGCAGAGTGGTGCAGCCCTTCTTAGAAAGGCCTGAAATTGTCAATCCATGAAATTTTTCAAGCTCTTTCTGGACCAAACCATGACTGACCTGATCTAGTGTTGGCGTAAGTCCCACTTCAAGCGGGAAGTTGGCTTAGAAAACTCCATAGTTCCTTTCCAACCATTTCCTTGTTATTTTACTGTGTACTATTGAAAATATATCTTAACAGCTAGAAAAGTACTGCAAAACTAACATAATGTGGCTTGGTTGTGTAGATGTTTGGGGGGATATTGAGCTGTGTCAAGGCTGCAGCAGCTTTGAAACTAGTGGGCCAAGACATATATTTGCCTTAAGTAGTTGGTACTTTGTGATTTAAAGGAGGCCCTTTGTGCTTGTGTGCCATCTTTGTATGTTTGCAAATATTTAACAACACTTTTTTTGTTCTTCCCATGTCTCCTGCTGTCTTCACAGCTCTTTGACTCCCTTCATTTTGACGAAATACCATTCCACCTTTCCAAGCCGGTAGCTGCATACGAAGAAGCTTTGCAGTTAGTGAAAGAAGGGAAGATTGCCTGCCGGACACTGAGGTGAGGCCTGGAGCCTTGGGTCACTGCATCAAAGCTCTTCTGAGCACCGTGGACACAATATTTGCCATAGAGCAGCCCTAGAATAACCCAGGGAACTCTTAGCATCTTTCCTGATAGCTTGGACCTCTCTGAGAAGAAGCCCCTGATTTTAGGACGTGCTTGTTAATAAATAGGGCAGTTGTCCCAGAAAAGCACTAATGAGAAATTAACAGTTCCATGTGGCTGCGCTATAGGAGCCTTTGGAGAGGGGCACTGTAGGAGGGGAAGGTGATCATTACTTTCTCCTAGGCAGAGAATGGGATTTTTTAGGCATTTGAATTTTGGAAAAGAGACATTAGGAGAGCTGAAATGTGTGCAATCCTCCTCTTTTCCCCCTAGGACAGAGCTTCTAGGCTGCTACAATGACCAGGACTTCCTGGCGAAGCTGCACTGTGTCAGACAGGCCTTCCAGGTAGGAATATCTTGGCCACAACCCTTGTGGCTGGTGGGCTCTCGTGGCAAGTGGCTCTCAGCAGCATCTTCTTCTCTGTCACCCATACAGAAGTGAAGTTTTCCCCTTTTTAYAACAAATAAAAGCAGAAGCAGCAGCTCAGGCTTCCCTTGTCTTGCTAAGTAATCCTGTCCTGGTTGCTTTGATCTGGAGAGGATCTGATYTCCATGCCTAGCTGAGTGGAGGCTCCATAGCCACTAACATTGTCCGTTACAATTCTGGGAAGGGAAAGTTTGGGAATTTCAGAGCTGCTGCTACCCCCATTTGGGAGCTTTTCACACTAACTGGGTCAGATTCAAACCTCTGCAGTGGAGGAGCAAAGTTTCTGTCTCCTCACTCCAATAGCCTTGTTAGCAAAGTATTTCCAGAACCTAAAAAGAAAGGTTTTGGGTCCTGGCCTCACTGGCAGCCAGTGGCTCCCTTGCCTTCRTTATTGTTCCTTCTAGTCTTCCAGCCTAATTCTGGACTTTCTTCCCAGAGAAAGCAGTTTTGTATTTTAAAATCTGGCCTATTAGAGGCTAATAGGTCTACACAGCACTGCTGCTTTGTATSCTGTCTTTTCCCCCCCTCTCTTTTTTCTCCCTCTCCAAACTCAGGGTTCATCCAGGCCAGAGGTTCAAAGGAGACTCCTGTGTTCCCTTTGCAGGTGCTACTGGAGGACGAAAGCAACCAGCTGTTTTTTGGGGAGGTTGGAAAGCAGATGGTGACAGGACTAATGACAAAAGCTGAAAAGGTAGGAAGCTTGAGTGATCACTCGACTGTATCACGTGAACACAGGGAGTAAATGATGAAATGATCCCTTCACGTAGAAGTTTTTAATAACTATCTAAATAAGTTTAACCCCTCTTGTCTCGAGAGGCTTGCTTAATCTGTCTTTATTTGGGAAGAAACTTCCCTGTAGGTGTCCATTGTGGTGGGTTAATACATTTCTGTGGTTATTTAGGTATTGGCTTTTGAAATAGGTGGTGCAACTGTGGTGGGTCTCTAATGATGACTAATTTCTAGGAAATTAAAGATATGAATGGCTAAATTCAGCTGTGTATGTCCCTATGCAAGGAGGATCTACAAACCCGAAAAGGGGTATTTTAATCATAGGAACTGGCATCTTAAGAGAAATTATTTCCAGCATATAATAGAGATGAATTAAGGCCACTTAATTCCATGGCTTTTCACATATAAGATAAAAAAATCACCCTCTCTGTTCAGTTTGCCTTCAGGAATGGTAAGTTCTGTTTTAGCATACTGAAGTTGCTGCTACTATTTTGTGGCTTGACAGGGTATTGACAGTGCTAATGCTGAAGGCACACAAAGTCAAACTGTAAAGTGATCTTGCCATGTATTCCCCTGAGTATGTTCCAGAGGGAGAACAGGAATAACACTGAGGGTAGACGGGAGGTTGAAAAGGCATGTTAGTCATGATAAAATTATAGAGTTTCATAGATTATTGAAGGTTTTTGAGGTTATAAAGTAATGCCCTTTATTTGCTTTACATTTCTCCCAAACTTTTTCAATATCTTTGTTAAATATAATTGAAAAGCGGTAGAAATATTCAGAGTTATGCAATTGGAAGGACAACGTAGTCTTTTATTTGGATGTCTCCTGCAGTATTTGAGCTGTTGCTGTCACTATTTTCTATCAAGGTCGTTTCTGTCAATACCATCCAGATGYCTGTCTACAGGGTCTGTCTAAACATGGTTTTCCCTGCAAGTAGGACCCTACCCTGGTGCCTTCACCTCCCTGTTTATTCCTCCTTGTTCTCCTCCCTCTGCTTTTCAGTGTAGTTTTCTCTCATTCCATCAATTTATGAAATTCCATCAGTTTATCTCAGAAAGGAAGCAAAGCGTGTAGGCCCACTCCAAACTACTGCTCGTTTATTTTTCTTATTTTAATTATGTTTGAACTGTTAGGCATTTGTAACATTTGTCTTAAGTGGTATTTCCTCCATCCCAACTCAGGTTGCCCACTRAGTCACCCTAATTCTGGTGACTCTGGTGTCCACCGAGTCACCCTTATTCTGGTCACCCTAGTGACAAATAAAATGATTGGTTTTTTTCCCTTTTGTTTAACCAGATTCTGTTTTGTAAGCAGCTCTCTGCAGCTCCTGTCCCAATTCTGCTGGGCTCATTAGAGAGTAGAGGGGCAATCAGGAGCATCACCTGGCATCCTGTCTTTGAATACGAGAGAGGGAGAAAATAATCCCACCTTTGCCTCAGCCATGTGCCCTATCTCAGATCACTGATTTAGTCACTAGCCATCCCCTAAACAGGAGTTTCCACTTACACAGTGGAAAAAATGATTCTTACTGGAACCAGTTTGTGTATAGGTGCCTCTAACCACTTCCTTGAGAGCTGAGCAACACAGGTGCTTGCAATGAAAGCAACTGAGCCTGTCCAAGCCCTCCAGAAATTAATTCTCTCCTTTTGCAAGCTGTATTCGGGCTGAAAACTTTTGTCAGGTGCATATGTTGTTTGTCAAGCTCAAAATAGATTGGTCAGGCTTTCAAATGTCCATGCAACTGTTGAAAATTATTTATGTATTTATCCTGCTCTCTTCCAGAATCCTAAAGCTTTTCTGGAAAGCTACGAAGAGATGCTGCATTATGCACTCAAGCAAGAGACGTGGCCAACCACTCAGCAGGAACTGGAGGGAAGAGGGGTTGGTAAAGACTTTTCTCTAGAAAATTGCAAAAAAAAAAGTTGATTAACTGATATGTAGGGCCTGGGAATGAACAACCTGCTGCTGAAATATGATTATTTTGCAATTGTACTGTAGATGGTGGGGGAAGTACTGGGGTGTGCCCAAAGAACACCAAAAGAATAAAGTTAATCTGCTAGATAGTMCCATTTTAAGCATGTTTCCTTAACAGACCCTTCTGCTCTCTGGCAGGTGGTGTGCATGAGCTTCTTTGATATCGTGTTGGATTTCATCCTCATGGATGCTTTTGAGGACCTGGAGAACCCTCCTTCATCCGTGCTGGCCGTGCTGCGCAACCGCTGGCTCTCTGACAGCTTCAAGGAGACGGTGGGTGAATTGGGGAGTCCCTGCTCGGAGCAAGTGCCAGCACTAGAACAGGGTTTAACTTTGGCCATCCTGGCTAAAATGAGTTTTTTTCCCTTTAAAAATATCTTGCCTTTCTAAAATTCCAAACAACAGACTTCTGGTCCATATAAATTGTTTACAGGAAAGCTGTCCTGGGAAAGCAGCTGAATTGGCTCCAATAGATTTATTTCTCTAAAAGCCATTATCAGCGATGCCATAGAGATTTTAAAAGATAACAGTGTATGTTTCCCTGAATGAGAATAAGAGGATCAAAAGATGGGGGGGAATAAACAGTGTTTTCTTTGCAGCTGGCCATTGACTCTGGTATCTCAGTAGATAGAGGCCTGAATAGCAGCACTTCAATTTAATCTTGGCCAGATACATAAATAAGAATAACTCATTTTGAGGACTAAGATGATGGCTGGGAARGACCTTCCAAGGGTCATCTGCTTACAGTCTGCATGCTGGGGTGCTTGCCAGCTGTGTGAGATTGCATTAGCAAGCTTCAAACACACTCTGCTGATCTGCAAAGAATCTGGAGTGGCCAAATTTGCTTCCAGTCCTGTTAGATTTTGTAACTAATTTTAAACACAAGGGCCACCACTTTAACATTTTGCTGGTAACGTGCTGGTGAACTCTGTTTTTCTGGAAAGTAAACCCAGGAGGTGACTGTTTCTCTGCCTTAATTGTAGGCCCTAGCAACTGCCTGCTGGTCGGTTCTGAAAGCAAAAAGGAGGCTGCTGATGGTAAGTAAAATAAATTAAAAGGGAAAGAATGTAGTGTAGTCAGAGCTAAAAAGATATAACCTGGATCTTGCCAAAATGCAGCACCTAAGTGGTGTAAGGATGAACTGAATCGATGCTGGGAGTGCTGTCCTGCTGTTAATGCCTTTGCCCCAGAATCACAACAGTTTTTACTGAGTCAGTTCTGATTTTATTCTTCGTTTTTTCTTGATGTGAGGATCCAAACAAATCTTCCCTGTCCAGTATTCTCTCTCCCTACTTACAGTTCTGTTGGAATGGCCACAGACAGCAAGGGACTGCTCTGGAATTGCAGTTTCCCTGTAGTTTCCCACCCTTGGACTGCTTTGCTGCCCAGCCCTGCCATTTGACCAGCTATTGCTTAATGCATTTCCCTGAAGCCCCTGGCTTCCTAAAGTCCCACAGCAGATGAGTTCATGGCCCTGGAGAACAGGAAGCCACAGTTTCAGAGCCCCAGTTTTGCCACAAGGCCTGTGGCATCTGGCAAGTTTTCAACTCCTATCCCGCAACCAGATGGCACCATTGGGTTTTCCTCATGGGATGATGCAGTGCGGAATGAGAGCGTTGGAAGCTGGCCTGGCACTGTCAAGCAGTAGCTCTGCTTGAACTCGTCACTTCATTCGTGGAAGCACAGATATTTCCATGCGCTTTCTCATGTTAGAGCGAAGACACTATAGTCTCCAGACTGTGTAGATAACCTGATGGTTGCTTTCCATTTTCTTTTTTACTTTTCTCCAAGAATAGTAGCTGAGAAACAAGTATAGGAAGCTCTAGTAATCCTTCAAGGGTTCTAAAAGATAAATCCCAGGAATTCTGTTGGAAGAGATGTTTTGTGTAGCTCTTTAGTTACTGAAACACAGTGCTTTCTGGCATGGAATTTCGGGAATTATATGCAATAAGCTGGTAATTCTGAGAACTGAGAGGTATCATTTTTTTCCTCCCTCCTGGCAGGTACCAGATGGCTTCATCTCTCATTTCTACTCCGTATCGGAGCATGTCAGTCCTGTTTTAGCCTTTGGTTTTCTGGGGCCCAAACAGCAGCTATCTGAAGTCTGTGCTTTCTTCAAGGTGAGTTCTTGATACCTTGTCTGTGTGGGGAGTTCTACTGTCTTGTGATTTAAAGCTAACAGATTGRTGCTTTTGATGGCTTGTTTTGACTGAAATACTATTAAGCATTTTGTCTCTGTACAACAGCCCTCTCAGCATCACTGTTCTTTGCAATGCAGATTGCTGAATTAGGATTGGTAAGAATTCCAATCACAATTTGCCATGCTGAAAGCAAAAATAGGTGTGATGAGATGGATTACTTTGTACTTTCCATATTGGAAAATTAAGGATATATGTGCACATGCTGAAAGAATAGGTTGCCTAAGTGTCCAAGGCTTCTTACAAGTTCTACATTTGATCCTAAAGCTTAAATTCTGTTTTACTGTTGATGAAATAATGAGARGCTGATTTTTCATTCATAAACGCTTTGCGGTGAATATTGCTTTAGAGATTAGTGACTTCAGGAGCATTGCTGTCCTGTTTGATAGGCATGAGTGGTTTAGCACAGAAGGAATCTGTAGCCTAAAGTGGATCTTTACGTGCTGGCAGACAAGCACAATTCCTTACGGGATTCTCCTGCTTGCTGCAGTCTAGGCAGTTGGTATTGCAAAGGGTGAGGGAAGGTCTCCTTCTGCCAACCCTCCTTTGTATCTCTGCAGCACCAGATAGTCCAGTACCTGAAGGACATGTTCGACCTGGACAACGTGAGATACACTTCGGTCCAGTCGCTGGCCGAAGACATTCTGCATCTCTCCCGGAGGCGCAGCGAGATCCTCTTGGGATATCTGGGCACTGAGACCTTCCCCGAGATGAACGGCATCCTTCCCGGTGAAAACGAGCCCCTGAAAGAGCTCATCTGATGGCAATCAAGGGAGGAAAGACCGTTTTTTACAAGCACACTTTTTTTCCTCCCAGAAATGGCTAAAACTACCTGCAGTGGTCAGCGGTGGCAGCAGGACTATCTCAACACACAGTAACCTGGTGGGACCTTCTGCTTTTTGTAGCCAGTAATGTTTGCTGGGATGGATCCTGGACCACTTGCCAGCTTATGGTTTGAATTTTTTTTTTCTTTGTTCTGCCTTTGTGTTCTATTTTTTTATTATTATTATTTTTAATGTGTCATATGAACCATGAACTGCCTATGCCCAGATTTTTGCCCCATTCTCTGGAATGGGGCAACATATGTACCCATTCCAGCCCTGTGTTATCTGGGAGATGTTTCCTGATGTTTAGGCAACAGGAACATCACTGGTAAATTCTCTCCTTCACCCTTAGGTTCTGAAAGCTAATTTATGGGGACTCGTTTGCTTTGGGAATCGTTAATGTTATTTCTCTGCTGTGTCTACAGACATTACTGCTGATCTTACCTTATGTGTTTTAACACATGCAATGTGACTAGCAGAGTTTTCTTCTCCCACCAAGGAAGAAATACTTTACTGAAGTAAAATTCAGATGTTTGCAACCAGTCTGAAGCTCTGAGGGAGTTGGAACCGGTGTGTTCCCTCTGTGCTGCTGCTCTTGGTGGGCCAGATGACTGTACCATGGTCATCCTCATGTAGGAGACCACCGAAGTCTGTGTTTGCTTCGCAGACAAACTAGAGTGTGAGGAGGGGATGGACTTGTATCCTGCCTGTGCACGCACAAAGAATTTAACATCCATCAAAGTGCCTTGCTCCGTTTCAGAATTGGCCAGTTAGTTTTCATGAAGCACACGAGCAGGGACGTGGGATAGAGCAGCATCGAGCGCTGAAATGTGTAAGGCAGTTGGAGATACAGCTGGTGGATGGGAGGTATGAAAAGGATGACGTGTGCAGGTAGCTGGAGAGTTGGGGTCAAGCTGCTAGARAGGAAACAATTTCTAATGTGGAATTTGTTTATAGTTTTTAAAAAATAATAGTAATTTTGGGTGGATACCAATGTTCTTGCAGTGCTGAGAAGGGTTCTGCTTAAATGGCATGAAAATTCAGAGATGGCACCTGAAATCTGGCTGCTCTGGATCATGTGCTGGGCTGGCTGCTGGAGCGCGCCGGCCTCCAGGCAGTCCTGGCTTTGTGGAGGGCTGGGCCTGTCTTATCTCCTGCTCCCAGGGCCTGGGATTTGCAGGGATACGTTTGGTCCTGTCATTGTGGAGGGCTGGGCCTGTCTTATCTCCTGCTTTAGTCCACATCTCTCCCCAAATCCCCACCTCAGATTGAGGAGGTACCCAGGGAAATGGGGCTTTCACAACAACACTAGGCTTCAAGTTTTTGTTTCCAAAGTGATGTGTTACCCTTTATGTCTGTCCCAGGTAACAGGCATCTTATGCAGGTATGTTTTTATGAGTGAAAAATTTAAGAAGCCAGAGCTTCCATAGAAGGGGAAAGTCAGTGCATGGACTTGGTGAACATAAATCTTTCTGGTTTACCTCTGCAGCTTTCTAAAGTGGCTTTTGCTGGTAAAATTTGGGAAGGAAATAAGCAGGGAAAAAGTAAATGTGAAGTGAGTAGATAACGCTCCAGAGACTCTTGCAATCAGGTAAGTGTAGAGCATAAAGCATCTCCTGCTCTACAAGCACATTAGACTGTGGCTTATCCTGAAGACTAGAGTGATGGAATAAGAATATGGTGAGGCAAAGTGAGGGACAGAGCCCTTGGTAAAGCCTGGGGAAATAAACTGTTAGGAGAAGGATTTAAAGGCAGTTAATTGAAACTAGGGAAGGTTTCTGAGGTTTCTTGCTCCTGCCATCATGCAGTGGAAGGAGAGACAAAGGAGGTTGCATTATTAGTGTGTGGTACGTGTTACATGTGGACTGTGATTTACAAGCATGTTAAATTCTGAAAGCAAGTTACTTTGCCAAAAATATTGTATGGTGCTGTGTGCTCTTCTATGGCTGGCTTAGAAGAAAGAGTAACTTCAGCAGCTTTGTACAGTAGTTAAGAAGATACTAAAATGTGAAGATTAATGTAATAAGCTGGATTGTAATTCTAAAGAATCAATGCTGTTCATTTCAGATTTTTAGAGTTGGTTTATGTGTATTTATTTAYGGTTTTGAATGTCTTGAGTCTTTGGTGCTTGGGGCAGCCTGGCTGCCTTGTGTAAGGACAGAAACACTGGGGCTGACTTTGGSCTTTTCACATCCTCACAGGACAGGGTACTAAAAAAGGGTCATATGAAGCAAATCCTAATTTGCCTTACGGCTTTTTAAGCTAAGAAACTGTAATTTCTTAGTCAAACAAATGGAAGTAAGATACTTTTACTTTTTTTTTCTTGACTCTTTAGCCCCTATTCCAAACAGGGAAGCTGCCCTTCCAGTGAAGGGAAAGAGGAATCTCCCTCAAAAGCACTTAGAGATGTTTGAAGGTTGAGCTCCCTCCCTTCACCACCAACGCTAACTTGCCCCTGCACAAGCCAAGAACGTCTCCTGAGACAAACCAGTTTTCCCTTCACTGGGAAAGAAGTGAGAGTTTTAGACAAGTCCCTATTTCATTAGTGCCCTTTTTCCTTCCTCCAGTAAAATGCACTGCAGCTGGGGAGCTAAAGCAAAAGCTCGTGGTGTCTGCAGGTTTTAAAGGACACTGTTCAGATGCCTGGCTTCAAAGGAGGTGCACCTGTTCCAGAAGCTCTCCCTGACGTGAAGGGCTTGGTAAGACTTCGAGAGAGGGGATCGTCCCCCTCTACACAGCCCTGGKGAGGCCACAGCTGGAGCCTGTGTGCAGTGCTGGGCTCCCCAGGACAGGAGGGATGTGGAGCTGCTGGGGAGAGGCCAGCGCAGGGCTACGAGGAGGATCAGGGGCCTGGAGCATCTGCCMTGTGAGGAGAGGCTGGGAGAGCCGGGCCTGTCCAGCCTGGAGAGAAGGAGGCTGCGGGGGGACCTGAGCAGGGTCTGTAGATACCCCAAGGGAGGCAGCGAGGAGGACGGGGCGGCCTCTTTGCAGCGGTGGCCACTGACAGAACTAGAGGMATCGGCCACAASCTGAAGCACCAAAAGTTCCCCAGGAACTTGRGGAAACATTTCTTGGCAGGGAGGGTGCCCGAGCCCTGGCACAGGCTGCCAGGAGAGGCTCTGGAGCCTCCTTCTCTGCAGATCTTCCCAACCCGCCTGGACGCAGCCTGTGCCACAGGCTCTGGGTGAGCCTGCGTGTGCAGGGGCTTGGACTAGAGGATCTCCAAAGGTCCCTTCCAACATTATTGACTCTGTGATTATATGTGACCTGCTGCAATAAACTCCCTCCAACGTGAAGCCGAGTTGGGTCTTGCACGGCTCCTACCAACCCCCTCAGAGCAGCCACGTCACCCACGTCTGTTYTGCAGCACAAAGTTAAAGCTTGTGGCTGAGCACCCGGCTGCCTTCCAGCTTAGTGAGAGAGATAGCATTACAAATACTTTATTTTTTTCTTTTTCACCAGCATATTGTATATAAAGGAAAATATTCAGTATTAGTAGCAAAWGAGATATATATTTGTGTAGGAATTCCAGAGAGAAGGTGTTTGCCTCTTCTGTAACGAACCCTTATTCTCAAGGGGTTAAATGGTTCTGGTTGACACTTGCAAGATTCTAGCACTGATGGGGGATTTTAAATGGGTTAGCAGTTGCAAAATAAAATCCTTCAATGGCTTCTGATGCTTAAACAGAATTGCAAGTATGCATGATTTTCAATTTTTTATATGGAAGTTGCTATAACAAGCTTCACTAGTGGCTAAAGCAGCTACTCAATATTTTAATATATATTTAGAGACTAAACCAAATGGCTCTAAAATTATCATCTTTAAAACTTAATCATGGTATTAAAAAAAAAAAATGAGGAAAAAATGCCTTGTTTTATCTACAAGACCAGGGTGGCTTTGAAGAGCATGACTTGAGCTGTTCAGTACTAGGAGGTGGGAAAGCAGAATTTTATTTATCCTCAGTAGCACATTCCTCTGCCGTATCTGAAGCTAATGAATGTAAATTTGTGCCTATTTTCTTGCTTTCCTAAAGATGTAAAGATCTATCTGTTCTTGTTTTGCTTCTTTCCTTTTCTTCAGTTTTTTCTTTCCTCGAATATTTCTAATCTTAGGATGTGGGCATTAAAACAAGTCAAATGCAACTTTCCTTCCCAATCTTGGTTTTTGCTTCTGAGTGTGCTAGTGAAGCTTGCTGTAAGCTCTCRGAGTTCTGATTTAATGTCAGTTTTAGTGATACCTACTGTGTCAGATGGCATAAACCAAGGCGCTTCCTTTCTAGCGTCAAAAAGCTAAGCTTAAATAAATTCTGAGGGTTTTGTTTGCATGGGTACTGGTACTATAAAGATAAGTCTTTAGATGAAGTGAGCTAGAAAATAAACRAGACAACTCATCGTAGTTCTGGCAATGGTTGAAACTCTGGCATTTTTCAGACTTTGTTTTTGGTGGTGGTTTGATTGTGTTTGGGGGCAGCATGGACTAGGCTCGCAAGGTGTGACAGAGCAATAATCCTAATCCTAATTAGGAGCAGAATCTATGAAGATTGTTCAGATTCTTATAGTACACTCATCAACCTCCCAAACTACGTGAAAGAAGCCCTGACCAAAGCCTGTGGCTTGGTATCAGCGATGCCCATCTGCTGAGCTCTGCAGGAAACTCATCTTACTCTTTTGAAGCAAGTACAATACGTTTGAATACTTTCCTTTTCAAGTGATACAGAAACCAGATTGAATCAGATAAGTTGTTTGCTTCCACGGTGATTAAGATTTGATTCTGTGATTTCATCCATACAACTCTATCCAAAAAAAAAAAAAAAAAAAAAGCCTTTCTTAGTATTAATCTGTCATGGACTGTGATATATGGAAATAAAACGCTCACGAGTAGGAAAACGGGTTTTTTTTTTTTCATGCCACAGCCTGAATGTCAGTTGGAAGAGTTAAAAAGGGAGTTTCTCCCCGTTTCCATGGAGCCAGTCTGTGCGCTCATGACATCTCCAGAGCAGCTTCRTGCTCCCTTACGCTGCAAGAACAGAGCAAAGGCTGCTCTTTGTATTGACACTTGATTCTTACATTCAGGAAGGAGTGGGTGCACGCAGCAATGAAGCCCACAATTTTCAGTACTTGTCATGGTACAGAGATCAAATGTAACACGCTCTGCCAACATAACTTTATATTCTGGCGTTTTGCAATAGCTTGGAAAGGTGGAGATTTATTTAACTTGAATAAKGAAAGCAGTAAATCATTCATTCCACCTTTTATCAGTCTTCTGRGATGAACCCAACTTCTGCAGTAAATACTTATTCTCTCTTTCCAAATAATACAACTTTAATTTTTCTTTTCTTGGAATGCCAGGGTGTCAATTAAAATGAATTGGGCAGAATTGTAATGGATGTTTTGAAACAGGCWTCTTACAAACTGCAGGAAAAGATGAAGCATTCTATTTTGAAATATTAACCCTGTTTATCTTGAGAGAAACTCTAACGTCTACACTTCCTTTCCATCTAAAAATCCAAAGCAAACACTTGCCTCTTACTTCCCGCACTACTGCTACGTATGTTTTCTGTAGATTATTTTTAACTCGAATGAACTTTGGTGGTTTGGGGCCCATGGCACATTTGCCTTCTGCAGGTTTTTTGTATAATGCTGCTCTGCAGCTTGCTCAGGCGTCCCAAGTAGGGTTATTCTCTGGCATAAAATACAGAGAGATTCATTTCAGTTTGTTCTTTAAAGGGGTATTTTTGTGGACAAAGAAAACCTTTAAAACCCTTCTTCCTGCACCAGGTGTTCTCAGGCYGCAGCACCACCCTGAGGACATGCTCAGCTGCTCTCACACAACATCTTCTATACTGCTCTAACGATATAATTTTTAGAATGAACATAAATCTTTAAAAGAAATCTCACTAGGATAAAGTGGGGCAGGGGAGGAATGCAAGTTGCCAGTACAATTTGGTTTTTATTTGTCAGCTTGGSGTGGGGCACCTCCTGCTGCTGCCATCCCCCCAACTTTCCTAAGCCCCAACTTCCCCTCAGGTGAAAGAGGAAGGATCCCTGTGGTGGAAACTGGAGAAATACGAGAAGAGGGCGGTTATTCTACAGTGCTGTGGGGCGGGCCGGGGGAGGCCATTTTAACGGCCGCGTCGCCAACGCGCCCCTTCCTCAGCGCCCCGTGCCAACCGCCTCGGCAGCGCCGCTCATTGGCCGAGAGCGCGCGGCACGGCGAGCCGCTGATTGGCTAATCTGCATCGCCCCATTCACCAATGAGGGCGGGGAGCGACGCCCGCCTTTCTCCCGATTGGTTTTGCCGCTACCTGCGCCCCTCTTGTATTGGGCAGCGGTGCTCGCAGCCTATTGGCTCTGCCGCTTCTCGAGTTGGGTTTTTAATTGGGTGGCTGTGTGTTGGCCGGCGCCTCACCTGCCGCGCCGTGCTATTGGACCAGCGCGCTCGGCGCCCCCGCCCATTTGTCGCACCGCCCCTTAAGTGCGCTCCGATTGGCCGTGGCGGCCCGGCCCGGTATCCGGGTAAGATGGCCGCAGTCGGAGAGTGCTCGCTCCCCGCTCCATGGCGGCCGGTCTCCCTCACTCACGTCGAATACCCGGCAGGTAACGCTCCGCTTCACGGCCCGCCCGGCCTTCCCGGTGGCGGCGCCGGCGCYGCGGCTCGCGCCGCGCCCTGCCCTGCCCCGCCCGCTCGCCGCTCCACGGCACCCCTCAGGGCCGGGCGGGCAGCTGCGAGATAGTGAGCCATTGAGTGGCCGCCCCGGGGCGGCGAGGCGCGCGTGCGCGCTGAGGCGGTGGGACACGCTGCCGGATTGTGAGCCGCGGGGGGCGCGAGGCGCTGCGCATGCGCCGTGGCGGGGCGCTGGGGGCTGCGGAGCCCCCCGCGAGGGGGGAGGGGAAGGGGGTCGTGAGGCGGCGGCGGGGGAGGCGGTTCGGGGCCCGGCCCGGCCCGGTTTGCCCGCTCTTCGGTGCTGCCTCCTCCCGCTCCACGTTGTCCTGCCACGTGCGGCCGCCCCGGGCCTCGAAGGGKCTGCTCCGCCTCGGCGGCCGCCTGCTCGCCTCAGCCCGCGGGCCTGGCCGGCGCAGGGCTCCGTGTCGGGGTGTCCCAGGGCGCCGCGCCGCCTCCCTGGCCCCTTCGGGCTTCACGCAACCGAAGGATACTAAAAACAAAAGGCAGTATGTGAAGTATCAAAGTGATACCCTTGACAGGCAGATCAAAACAGATTCGATGTAAGATAATTCTCGGTATTGCAAGTTCTTCCGTCAAGTCCCTAACTTGTCATAAAGCGTCGCTGCGTGTCTTGTTTCGGCCGCTGGGTTTTATTTCCTGACAAAAGCTCCTCTCTTTYGTGCAGTGCCTAGAGCTTCTGGAGTGCTYGGGGGTCTCCTGGGCTCAAAGTCCYCCTTTAGCCACRGGACTTGCAGCGTGGTGACACTACAGGAAATCAGGCACCGAAAGTAGTTTTCTCTCCTAAAAACAGCTGCTTTATTATGATTTTTATGACATTTTTTGTGAAAGATCTGCAGTTCCTTTTTGTTTCTTGCATTTTCCTTTCCTTTGTACATTCTGCTTCTACCATTCYCCAGGCTTAAATAAGTTTATATGAAGGCTTGAGAACTGAATGGGGAGGAATAATAAGTTTGTGTAGCTCATCTCCTTAGCCAGACCTGGCAAGAGGCTCTCGGTGTCCTGCACGCTGTGTTTTGGATTGGCTTTGGAAAAAAAAGTGTTTGAAATGAGYAGGTTTTGCTTCCCAGGACTCATCTGTCACATCTTGAGGGCTGTAATGTAATAATTGCATTATTTTCTGTGTTGCTGCTTTTATAAAAGGAAAATAGGGATAACTGAGTGTGTGTGTGTGTTTGGGGTGGGGAATTGCCAACAGGATTAGGGTTACTGTTATATTGGCCTTGGATAAAACGTGTAATTAGGGAAGCCCAGAAAAGGGAGACAAAGGTTTATAACAGGAACAAAATCAGGAGATGCAGAAGTGCCTTTGCTTAGCTTGGTCTACAGAAAATGAGTTGCAGTAAGATGCTAGGTGATGCTTTATCTGCACTTGGAATAAAGTGCTTTAACTTTATTTAGAAAGCTGTTTGTTCCTTGTCCGTGTAGGGCTTAAATCCAAGTCCATAAAGCATCTAGATAATACGTGTTTATAAAATAATAATGCTGGCAATATGTGCAATACTGTGGAGTTAATGTAGCCTTGTGCTGATAGAGAGGGGTCAGATTGAGACATAGCTCATGCTTCTAGCAGCATAAATTATTAAAGAGCTTGGACTTGTCGTGTGCTCCCGGGTGGCAGCTTCTCCCTGTCCCCCTCTTGGCCGGTCCCAGAGGGGTGACTGGCCCGGAATGCYGCGTGCTGAACTGCTGTGGCCACCGGGTCTTAAAATCTCTCATCTTTAAAGACATTCAGTGCAGACCTGCTGTCATCCTGGCTTTCATTTGCCAGGAGTGATGCTCCCGCTCACGGGGACCCGCTGAAAAGCAGTCGCTGCTGATTTCTGTGTCTGCCGGGAGAAGCTCTTGGGCTTTGCCTGTGACTGCAAAGGGGAGAGGTGCCTCCAGAATGGTGCTTGTGCTCCCTCTGTTATCTAATGTTTCCTTATCAATAGTGATAGAATTCAGACTTTGTACAAAACAGAGAAGCCATCCTGACTGCCTGCGTGGCAACTTGGCCCTCAGGGGCTTTCTGTGGTGTCGACTTCAAGCACAATCAAACAGGAGCAGCAGAGAAGTGCCCTGCTGGAGTCACCCGCACCCTGGCCTAGGGCRATGGGGTCTTTGGGGGCTTATCTGGGAACTAAATGTCAAACCTAGAGAGAAGAAAACGGCAGCGGCAGCAGTATTTGCCAGCGTGTTAAAGCTTGTTGCTTACGAGGACAGACTTAAAGMTTGTTGTCCTGGGAGTGTGTTTGGCAATGTTTAGTCCTGGAGCTGTGCGTATCAGYGCCTGCATTTGGTGGGACCAAAGGATGCCCTGGTCTAGTGCTAAGCATCTGATAGGAGCCAATGAATGAGAAAGGTGTGAGGATGCAGCAGGAATCCTTCCCKGTGTCCAGCAGCTGCAGCAGGACAGTTGTGTCCCATGGTTGAGGCACAAAAGCTCCATGTGGTGTGAATGTGTAACTGCTCTTTGAGCCCCTTCCCACTTCGTGTCTCCTCAGCATCTTTGTCACTGAGCTTTGCAACTTGAATATAGAGAAGGAACAGCTTTAAGTCCATTGGTCACTAATTTCATTGAACACCCTCTGTTTTATGCGAGGTGAGAGATAACAAATGCTTTGCTGTCCTGCCTTCCCCCGAATCCCTCACGATGCTTAGGGGACCATTATCTTCTCTGATCTCCTTTGTCAGATGGAAATCTGAGTTCAGTATTTTTTGAATGGATACTGTTCTACTGTTCGGTATCTGTCGTCTCTGACTGCCACAGTGCGTCGGCTTGTTTTCAGCTCCCACCACGTCCAAGATCTTCTGTTTGATAACAGCTAAACTAAATCTCAATGCTGTCCATGGCTAATTAGGGTTGTTTTTCCCCCATATGTGTTGCTGTGTGTGCAGTGACTTTGTTACAGCCTTAAAACTCATCTTCAGTGACTTCCTGTGTGGYGAGTTTCAGTGGAGAGACATTGAGTTCCCAATTTGTTTGGATTTGTTTTTAACTTAAAAATGACAAAACAAACAAAATATCTTCCTCTTCAGTGCAGCTGTGCTTCTTAAAACTCTGTGCGTTTCTGGACTCTGCTTACATAGGACATAACTCTTTAAGGGGAGAAAAAGAGCAGAGCAACCTGGTATGTAAAACCTTCCATACTACATGTTCTGGAGAACAGAGAACTTTGCTCTCTCATATAGGGAAGATGCTTCATTGAGGACAGGCGGAGCTGGAGAACTGGATGTGTGGAATGAACTGAKGAGTGTCAAGATGAACATGACCACAAGCGACCTGCATCCGAACGCACGCGCTTGGTGGCTGCTCCTTCTTCGCTCCGGTGGTTGCYGCTCAGTATAAGCACGTGGAGCCGCTGTGCGCCCTTCTCATAATCCTCCCCGTGCTCTGTGTCTGAGGTAGCAGCCGAGCACTTGGGGCTCATCTCAGAGCTCAGTAATACCCGGAAGAAACAGCTCCTGCTCTGTTATGTCTCTCTCTTTATGCGGTTGGTTTTGAGGCTGATCTTCCTGCAAAAGTTTTGTGTCTAGTACATGCCTTCTAAAGCTTCCCTGAAGGTGCTTTGCTGTCCCTCTGCTGCCATCACAAGCTGTGGTTGAAGAAATCATGATCTCCCAATGAATAGTTGGTGTTGCACATAAAGGTGCTGTTGTGCATCTTGCCCCCATCCATCTCGCCGAGCGGCTCCGATGGGAAGCAGCGATCAAGCTAGGCCTTGCGGTAGGATGTGGTTAGAGTGCCCTTGATTCACAGCTTTATTTCACATGCAGGTTAAGTTGGTGTGGTTAAACCCTGGCCACTTCCACCGGGTGCAGGAAGGATGCAGGGTTAAATGTTGAATCGGATCCAAAGCAGACACTGAATGGAGGCTGAAGAAGTGGTGTGTTTTGAAGGAAATGTTGCCCGTTCTTGGGTGTCTGAAAATGAGGTGACTGGGTACGTTTACAAAAAGTCTACTTCTACTCTACAAAAAGAGCCCCAGGTGATACCTGGAGAACGCTGGACAAAAGAAAGGTGGAAAGCAAGCTTTCTGTTAAATAGGTTTTCCTCTTAAATGATTCCAGAAATCTTGCTTTTGGTAGACTTAGTTCTTAGCAATTGTAGGAATTTTTAAAATTCCCAAACTTGGCAAAATGAATCTGAAAAGGCAGGGAGGAACCTGCTTGCTAGATCTGAGTGGACATCATGCCGTCAGGAATGTGTCTCCGAATGCCCYGGAGCAGGAGAATAGACAGAAGCGCCCGAGAAGTGATGCCAGGAGCGCGGTGCCGCCGGGAGTGGCTCTGTCCAGTGGGGATTTCCAGGCACTGCAGAGCTGTTTGAGCTGAACAGCGCTGCCTTAATCTGCTCAGCTCGAGAATACTCTCAGGACAGAATTACTGAGGTTCTGGGGTAGYTCCCAGGAAATAAAAGGCTGTCGCCTTGGGCTTGCGCACAGCTGTGTCTGCTGACCTAGAAGGGGCCACTCTGGAAATGCGGCTGTTTCTGCTTGCTGTTAGCTGCAATAATGCAAAATACCACCAATATTCTGTCTGGTATAGTCTGAATGGGGAGAGCTGAAACGTTTCTGGAGCTGCTACAGGAAGAGAGAGATTGCCTGGGTAAAAGCCTGGTGCTCTGCCTGGCCTTGAGATCACTGGAAAGCATTTTTGGGGCTTTCAGGTAAACCTTAGCTGCCTGCTGGCTCTTTTCTCACCTCAAGAATTTMCTTCTCGTTTAAAAAAGGGTTCATTTTGTAGGGTGTTGGTATAAAACTGCATGGGGCCTGATTCTCTCTTGCCGGATAAGTGAGACTGTCGCTYGCATCCATTTTGCTTTTCCATAATATGTTGCTATTCTGCTTTGGTAGCAATTGGCACCCACTTGACAGCTCAGTAAGTGCTGCATATGTTCCAGGAAGCAAGTCTTGGATTCAGGCTTTCCTGATGCTTCTCAGGCTTAAAAAAAGAAACCTCACTGCTATGAAACCCAATGTTCTTGGTTTACTTTCCCCCACCTTTTCCAAATTTCCCAGACGTTAGGAACTAAAACTCATCTAAACTCTCTCTGCTTGTGATGTACCTGGTTCCCAAATCGGAGAGGAGCCTGTGCAGGGTACCTGAGTTGTGAGGCCACGAGCAGTTAGCAGCAGCCTGAACCTTGTAGCTGGTGCTGTAACTTTGAGCCCTCGTGAGAGCCTGGGGTTGAAGTCCATTGCACCAAGTGCTGCTTTGAAATGTGGGTCGTGGAGCCTCGGGATCTTGCAGGGCAATTAATCTAGGAATGAGTGCACGACTCCTTCCCTCGTTTAGGCAGGGAAGGGGAAAGATTTGCTTGGGGAGGGTTTGCTGGTAGTTTTTGGCACAGGGAGAAGATAGGAGGGAAGGGGAGGGAATGATGCTGCCTCTCTCAGCAGCCCCTGCATATGTTGGATTAAAGTGACTGTGGGTCCACACCAGTGGCTGCTGTTGCGAATTGGCTGCCGGTGGTATCTGCTGGAGGATGCCAAGCTCCTGTCATCCCTCCTCTGAAAGCTGCAYGGAGGCACCGCTGCCTTCCCTGCTTGGCTCCATGCAGGCTGAGCCGGGAATAACCACTGCCAAATGAGACCTGCTGCAGTGCTGAGCACTGTGGCAATCACTCAATCGCTCCTGGGGTGATTTGGGGCACCAGCTGACCCAAGGCCTGGGAGCAAGCAGGTATGTGGGAAGCTCAAGCTGATTTGTTTGTTTTGTTTTGTCTCCCTAGGTGATTTCTCGGGTCAGCTTTTAGCTTATTTGAGTCTCGGGCCAATATTCATAATTGTTGGCTTCATAACACTCATCATATTCAAGAGGGAGCTTCACACGGTAAGTCCTTCTCTCCCCTCCTGGCATCTCCTTTTGACTATAATCTGTTTCTTTATGCCATGCTGCTCCTATATTCACTTTATTTATTGGGTCCTTAAAGAGCAAGTTTATCTAAAGTGATTTTCCTGCCAGAGAACAGCAGGAGAGATCCTGCCCCCTGTAGCAGGTTAAAAGGCTACTCTGCCTTTGCTGACTTTGTGCYGTGTTTTAGGCATTGTCTGTTTAAAATTATTGGGGAGAGAAGGCTGAAACTCAATAAAAACTGTAGAGTGCAAATTAATAACGTAAGGGCCACTTCTTTGCTGTACACAAGGGTCAGAAGATACTTTTGCTTCTTCCCAAATGAGCAGAAAGGGGTTCTCTCTTTTTTTTTTTTATCCTACTTGATGCTTTCTCTCTGACCTGACAGGTAGTTGAGGGTCAGTCTCATGACTCAATTCCCTTTAGGAGGCATAAGCCACTTGGCACATTTGCCCTCGGACAGGTAAATGGGACCAGTGGAAGAAATCRGGCAGCGCTGGTGTCGGGGACCTGAAACAAGCTTCTAGTTTCAAAGCTGATGAGTTAAACAGTGAACAGAGCAGTTAAACACTCTGATCCAAAGATTTCTTGTTGATCCAAGGTGGAGAATAAGCCGGAATAGCTCCTGTCTCATGTTCATAGGCACGTGRAGCTTGGTTGATGCTGGTAAATGAGAGAAGTGTTGAAGTTGGCTCCTAATTGTGCCTTGGGAAGTCACGGCTAAGCTCAGTTCACGAGTGAGGCAGTTGCTACCTGGCCTGAGCAGCCCGGCCCGTAGCTCAGGGCCCAGCCTAAAATGTGGCTTTGTCACCTGAAGTAGGACTGAGCAGTGAGGAGGCAGGGTACAGTCACCAGGTAGCAACTTGGTCACAGCAACAGGGGGAATTTAGGAGCAGAATACAGACTGTGGAATTAAATCGCAGAAACAGATGCTGCTGGCCTGTCTCAATCCACAACCTGTCATTGTAAACTGAAGGCAGTGTTTTCAGTTTTTGGCTTTTTACCCCAATAATGAYGTGGGTGCTCCCCCTGTTGGTAATCAGTAAAAAATAATAATCTTTTGAAACTTGTCGTGCTTGAAAATGTACTTTTCGGCCCTTGCTAATGGGAATGTGCTAAAGCAACGGCTGCATCTACTCTATGGTGGCCCCTTTTTTTTTTTATTATCGCTTAGCCAAGAGCTGTGTATATACAAGTATTGTCAGATATGCCAGGTAGGGTGAAAAAGAAATGCTTTTCTGTCTCAACTACAGAATTCTGAGGCTGCTGATTTTTAACTCTAATAGTCAAAAAAGCAAGTGGGAAACATATGACTTGGGGGCTTATCATCAAGCAGAGCATAAGTAGCTGGTCCTTTTTAGCAAGATGATGCCGTTGTTTTGCCTTCACAGATCTCTTTCTTGGGAGGGCTGGCTTTCAACGAGGGAGTAAACTGGTTAATAAAAAACGTTATCCGGGAGCCACGGCCCTGTGAAGGTATAGTATGGCCCATTTGTGTTACGGTGCCATCTTTTATTTATTTTTATTTTATTGAATTATTTATTTGCATGCAGTGGTGTTAGTATGGGGTTTAGAGAGTGTTTTCCCCTTTGCTGCATGTCKACATTGGGTGTTTCGGTGCAGAGGGCAGCAGAGCCATGTGGACAATGACGTGTCCCATGCGCTCCAGCTTCACCTTTGGAGCATTCCAGCTGCTCTCTGCAGGATAGACCTTGACCAAACTCTTTTTTCTTCTCTTCCCAGAAGCCCATTCAACAGTGACCACAAAATATGGGATGCCGTCCAGCCACTCCCAGTTCATGTGGTTTTTCTCTGTCTATTCATTTCTCTTCCTTTATTTAAGGTAAAAATCTGTCAGGTTTTGCCTGTTAATGTGTTGAAGCACCCTGATACGTGGCTTCCTGTTGAGTTATGTAGCAGAATCAAGACCTGTAGGATTTGTTCTGTAGCTAGAGCTGCTGAAACTGCCTTCCTCAGTCTGAGTGTGGGGATGGAGTTGCACTTGCTGCAACGTGATATGTAGGGATGGGCCTCCTGCTGTGAGCCCTGCCCTCAGTGTGTCTGAAAACACATTGTAGAGATGTCCTCRTTGTGTCTTGATGGTTTGGTTGATCTTTGAGCCTTAATTGGTCTCTCTTGTGTTAATGGCTTTTTGTGTCTTTCAGAATGCACCAAACAAACAACGCCAGGTTTCTGGATTTACTATGGCGGCAYGTGCTGTCTGTGTGCCTCGTGACAGCAGCTTTGCTAGTCTCATATAGTAGGTATGGAACAACTTGGTCTTGCGCTCGTCGCCAGGCCTCCGGCCTCTAACAACAGCAGATCTGGCACTCCTCATTCTCGGTGATCACATAAACGAGAGCTTCGGGGTTGCAATGTTGCCATGAGCCACCTTAGACAGGCATATAGAACTAGGGGGAATGACCACAAACTGAAGCACCGAAAGTTCACAGGAAACTAAGGAAACATTTCTTGGCAGGGAGGGTGCCCGAGCCGTGGAACAGGCTGCCCAGAGAGGCTGTGGAGTCTCCTTCTGTGGAGATCTTCAAACCCGCCTGGACGCAGCCTGTGCCACAGGCTCTGGGTGACCCTGCGCGTGCAGGGGTTCGGGCTAGATGATCTCCAAAGGTCCCTTCCAACCTTAACGATTCCATGATTCCATATGAAGCATTTCATGTGTGGTGCTACACAGAACCACTTACAAAACSCAAGTAAGGGTTATAGGGATATAAGGGATACAGGCTCAGCCTGTATSGATCCCTCTTGGCTCCGCTGCTTGCTCCAGCCTCGCTGCTGTCCTCTTCCAGACCTGATAAGGAAGCAGTGCCGTGCGCTGCACGTGCCAGCGTTGGCAGTGCCAGGGCTGCTTGCAGCTGACCCAACTAATGGAGTGTTTTGTTTGAGCATTAGTTAATAGAAACATTTAGAGCTGTTTGACTTGCCAGATTTAGTTTTGTTAAGAAGGTGAGTCAAGAAAACGARATTTTGATAATGAAGTTTATTTCCTTTACTGGATAAAAAAAAAAAAAAAGGGTGTGTGTGTGGGGGGGAGGGGAGAGATCCAGTGGTTGGAAACAAGACATGTTTATGCTGGAAATAAGGCCATGTTTTCTACAGAAAAGCCATTATCTGTTGGCACTCTTGACACTATACTAGAGCTGATTCATTATTACTGCTTATTTTAAAAATTCTGACAGGACATTTTTATAAGAGAGATGTGGTCTAGTTCAAGTGAATGAATTTTGAGGAGAGGAGGCAGATCATATTAGAGGGATACTCTTTATGGCTTTAAGACATATGGAGGCAAAGAATTTTGGGTGCAACTCATGCAGCTTGTGTGCAGGGCTAACTTAGCAGACATTAGGACCAGTTTCAGATGCCACAGTCACAGCAAGGGCTTTGTAGTGATGCTGCCTTCATGCTGTCACATTTGTTAGTGGCAAAACATTGTGGGGGAAAATGTTCTATTACTGAAAGTCTTTAAGCCCCAGCTCTGGTTTGGAGGGGGTTTGCGCTGATGTTGGCTCTGGAACAACCTCTCATGGGAACCAACATCACTGATGTTCTGACCTAATGATCTGTTTGGAGGAATGTGGAGGGTTGTTGAGTTAAAGGCAGAGTACAAGTGCTTTGAGCTGAAAATGCTGCAGCAAGGAAAGCCCTGTTTGCKTTCTGCTTCCTCCCTCCCCCTGCTCCCCCCCAGCATTTTCACAAAGGAGCAAGTGGAACATCTGTTTTTGCCAGTGGGGATGTGGCTCGTTCTGAACTTTAGTAGGTCCGGGTGAAACATCAACCTGCAGGTCCTGCCTCCTCTTGCTCTGGTGACCCTTTCTCTTCCACTGCAGGGTTTATTTGCTTTACCACACCTGGAGCCAAGTGTTATATGGGGGTGTGGCAGGAAGCATCATGGCCATAGCCTGGTTTGCCTTCACACAAGAGATATTAACTCCTCTCTTCCCAAGGATAGCTGCATGGTAAGTGTCTTTATTCTGGGAAGGTTTTATTCCTGTAAGGCTGGATTACTTAGGGCTGTTTTGTCCAGTAAAGTGTGTCCCTTGGAATGGGGTGATAACCCTAATGAAGCAGAACTCCCTGCTAAGAAAGTATCTTGTGATCAACCAGACCAATTTTTGCATTCCATCTGAGGGAAAACAAATATTAAGATACCTAAACCTGTAATATTTAGTTGTAGCGATGCAAGTCCTGATTGTAAGCAGCTTGCTATGAACTGCGTAAGTGTTAGATGCTGGAAAAGAATTCCTGGATTCTCTTCCAGCTTTGCCTGCTGACTGTTGTGTGACTGTGTAACTTGTTCATCTGCTTTTCTTCTTATATGTGTGTGTATACAAGGGATCACATACCCTTGCCTCATATGGGGAATGGAGAAGGGAGGTTTAGGAAGCTCATACATTTCTAAAGTTCCATTTGTAAGCTCTGAAGTGAGGAGTGGTGGAGGAAGGCACAATGTGAAGAAGTAACTTTCAAATAGATAAGGCCCTTCTTAATCGGTGTGTGATGACCTAGTAAAATTGCAATCCCATTTAAATTTAATGGGCCAGGAAACATTGTAAGGAAAGAAAGTTGAGTGTGTATATAGTTCCTGATTAAATTTAATGAAGCATTTTCTTTTTTTTCTGTGCTGTATGTTTTGTTCTGATCCAAAACTGTGTGTATGTATCTACTAACTTGCCCTTTCCCTCATTTACTTTTTTCTTCTCCCAAGGCCAATTTCAGAGTTCTTTTTAATCCGAGATACCAGCCTCATTCCCAACATCCTGTGGTTTGAATACACAGTCACGAGAGCAGAGGCAAGGTGAGTGACCTGGTGGGGTAGGAGGGGCTGTAGCTGCTTTCCCTGGTCAGCTCTAGCTACCAATTGCTCTATTTTCCAATATTTAGATAGCTTCGGTGGGTGGAATAGTGTAGGAAGGAAGATCAGACTGTGGGTTAACTGCAGCATCTGGAAGGTGAGTCTGTTGGGATGTGTTATGATCAAAGTTGCAGGACGAGTCAGTATTTTGACTCCTTGGCCTGTGGTTGTTGTAAGCAAGTCTTACAGCCATGTGTGAACTTGTGCCCACTTGGCCAAGGTGCCTGTTTCAGGACTACAAACAACAGGAGGGACTGATCTCTATAAACAGTAGGAAAGTGTGGTAGAGACAGCTTTGTTCTTGGGAAAAGCAGAGGATGACTTTCATCCTTGTGTCTTTTACCCCGTGGTTTGTCCCACTACCCAGTGATGGGGTTAAGGGCCGCCTTTCTCACCCTGCCTTCTGTGCCACTCTTGCAGAAACAGACAGCGCAAGTTGGGTACGAAGCTGCAGTGACCCCACGAGGTGCGTGGACCAGAGTGCACGTTGGGACAGCACAAGACAAGAGCAGAGACCTGGGAGCAGCAAGAAGCCTTTTCCAACTGACGGACCAAAGGACCAGGCAGGGACCAATCCCCCAAACCTGAAAGCCTTTGCTCTGCTTTAGCAGCCAGCTGGATGCTCCCTGATGCATGTGGGACAGTGCAGGAGGAAAAAAACTCATTTTCAACACAGATGCACAGTGCCCRTTGGGATGTGCCACCGTGTCTACGTCGGGAGGGGGGAAGAAAATGCCTGGTGTCTTGTTTAGGGGAAGGGAAAACCAAAATCCAATAATTTTGTGACTTTTTTTTTTCCTCAGCATGAAATATACACACTATTTATTTATTTTTTTAAATGGAACTATTACTTTTGGGGTGGGTGAGACATTGATTGTGTGTTTTGGTTTTGCTTTTYGTTTTTTTTCCTTTTTGGAAGATGACAAGACTAATCTCAAGTTGATCATGCTTAATTAGGAGTTTTGCTTTTTAGAAATCCCTCGGGAGGGAGGGGGAACTAGGATGGAGGTGACTTAGATGAAAGGGAGAGGAAGATTTTCATTCCTTTCTACAGCCCTTTTGGGAGATCAAAATCAAATCCTACTGCACTTTGTATGGACAGGAAGAAAGTACTACAGATTTGCTGTTAACACTAGTGACAGTTCTGCAGGGAAGCCTGCACGGATACCATTAAGGGGAGTGTGTGTGCGTGTGTATGTAAAACAGAGGAAAAACTGAAATATACCGTATGATTTTTTTTCTTGTTTATTTTATTTTTCCCCTGCTGTTCATTCGGTGTAATTAGCAAGGAAGTCCTCCTTAGAATCCATTCTACGTGGCAAGACTCCCTATGGCTCTCATGTTTACCCCATCTCTTCCTTGACACTTCCAGTATCTCAGGGTTGCTGTGGTCTGTGCAGCTCCTGCTGTACCGAGTGCGCTCTGGATGGCACCGGGGAGCTGCTTGGCTTCAAGCAATGGGACATTCCCAAAGGAGTCAGCCCAAAGCCTTAGGAATTCCAGTTGCTGATTGCTGCCTTAAACCCTGGATTTTCTGTGTTATTTTTTGTTTGGTTGTGTTTTTTCAGTAAAGCTTCTGGGGTAGACTTTAAGCATGAACAAGGTGACAGCTTAAACTAGCCCAGCTGTTGTCTGAATTATTTGTGAAGATCCCAGTTTGGATGCACCAGAGAGCCTGAGCAGTGAGATTGTCCCAGCAGCCACCCATTCCGAGGGCTTGGTCTTAGTTCTGTACCTTGGTCTTGGGCCAAGGACACTTGGTCAGGAGTGCTGAACTCCTGCGAGCAGGTTTGGGTGTCCCTCTTCCCTCTTCCTTCCCTATTCTCATTTTGTCTGTTGGCTCCCTGGGTAACGTGTCCCAGGGAGGGAGCCCAACAGCCCCACATGCTGCTGATGCCCAGAGCCCCTGTCACTTTTTGTATTTCTCCTGTATAATGCAATGTTAAGGGTTTCTGCACCGTAAGTTAAGGGTTTCTGCAGAGAAATGTTCATTCAAAGCACAATAGACTTGAACTGTGACAGCTAAAGGATGTTTGAACTGGCTCAGAGGCATCAAGGTGCCTTTGCTGGTCCTGTGAGCAGAGGCAAAGCTGCTTCCTCTCAGTCTTGCTGCCTGTTTTGCTAATCTCTAACCAGATTCCTGCATTGTAAAGATGCTTGAAGGGGGATGTGTTTTTGTTCCACTTGATTTTGATATTTAAAGTTTTCATCTCTGCCTGTTGCCATAGGAGTTTGTGTGCTCATAGGGAGTGGGAGTTGGCTGCTGTAGAAACCATTGGACAACCAGAGTGTTAACTGTCCTTTAACTAGGAGATCAGAAATGAAAGCCACTTGAATTTTTGTGTTTACGAATCTATTCTTTGAATAGCAAACTCTAAATTTGTTTTCAGGATTTTTWTTTTTTTTTTCTTTGCACAACATGAACAGTCCTGGTTTTTGTTACCATCTGAAGGACCTGAGCTCTGGATCTGCTTTGAAGGTGCATCAGAGTAAAGAAGCATCTGGCTTTTATGGGAATGTTAGATCTAGCTTAAAGCTTGATTAAGTGAGACCAGAACATCAGTTCACAACATGATGTGGCAGTACTTCATGTCTGAATTTGAAAGCTAATATTAACTACTCATATCTTGCAAAACCACTTAATTGTTCCTTGTTCCTCACAAGTTAACTTACAAGTTTAATCTATTATAAGGCAGAAGGAGGATCGCAGCTCCCTTGCCCAGGGCCAAGGCTGAACAGGTAGGTGGCTTCAAGAGCAGCTAACACCTCCTTATCCTCTCACAGCTGGAAAAACTGCCTAGAACTACTGATTGAGAACTGGAGCATGGACAGGGGGTTCATCCCCATGCAGGTGGCACCGTGGTGTGTAAAGCTCTCCCCCTTAATGTCACCTTCCAATCCGAGCCTCCTACAGCTGGTGCTTGGCAGTAAAGGAGAGGGACAGCAGCTCTTGTAGGAGTCTGTAATAAACTCTACTGTTCTCTGCTAGTTGTTGTAATCTGCATTTTCTGCAGACTTCTACTRCCCATTTCTAGAAAGCTTTGCAGAATCTGGAATAGTAGGAATTCTTTAGTGATCCCCTGTATTTTCTAAAATCAGTGACACTGCAGAAAAGAAACTCCATCCCTACCTTATTGCCCTGTGCTCGTATGAAGCCTCCTGCCACTAGTTTTTTGAAACAAAATGTTTTCTTTGGAATCCATGACTTTGCCAGCAGCTGCTTTCTGGTTCCTCCCCTGTCCTCCAGGGCTGGATGGAGGTACCAAGACAATAAAAGGAAGGTGATAGAGCACTGTGCTTCATTCTTCTTGTGGTCCTCCTAGGAGGATCGTTACGGAGCTTCTGCAGTTTCTGAGGAGATTTAAACCTTCTCATAACACTTATCTGTTTATTGGAAGAACACTTCAAATCTTTGCATGACRAGATTACACTATCAAAACGGTATTTAATACAACTAAGCAGCAAAGCATGCAAACACTACTAGGCTTTGTCAGAAATTGCACTTGCGCCCCAAGTGTGTCTGAACGTTTTCAATCTATGCATTTCTTGAATTTATTCCAAATCAGTAGTTTTTCCAGAACTTGGATTCTTGTCCTTAGTTTAGCCTTAAGACCACAGACATCTCTTGAAAAAGAAACACATTCAAAAGCAGGGAGGGGATAGGATTTTGCAAGCAGACACTGGAAAAAATGAACAACTAGAAGAGCCAACTCGGAAGGACATTGCAACTAAGAACTTGGACAATAAGAAACACTTTTAAAGTAAAATCATTACAAGGTTTATCTTGTCCTTTCAAGCACTTCCAAAAAAACTCAAGTTCAGCTCCATATAATTAAAAATGCACAAAAYGATTTAAGAATTGTGTGTCTTTCAGGGGGATGCTGTGCTGTTTACAGCTGCACGGTGCCAAAGCTAGTGGGATATCCAGATTTTGAGTTAAATCTCTATCAAACACTCTTCAGAGAAGCATTTGCAGCAGAGCACACAGCTGCTTAATCTTGAATAGGCACCTTCCTCTGAGAGGCTTCCCCTTTGAGGCAGAAAATAGGAAAGGGCCTATACTCCTGTGGCAATACTGTAGTATCAGTGGTTGAAGGCACTGTGGACAGGGAAAAATAACTTATTCCCCAGTACACAGGTTGTCTCAGGTGAGTGAGGAAGATTATTTCACCAAAGAAAAACATTTTTTTTCCTCAAGAGTAAAAGGTCTCCTAAAATCAGGTTTTATTCCAGCAAGGTATAGTCTATTATGTTGTGTTAACATAATCACTTCAATCTTGGTAATACTGAGTATCCTGTTTGTAGTTCCAGTCTAATTCACAGTGGAAGAGTCAGCAGCAACATCTGCTCCCAGGCTCAGAGTACTCCCATTGCCTTTAGACTCTTCCTCCATTCAGGATTCCTCTACAAAATCAACAAAATCTAAATCCATGTAGATGATGTGAAAGTGGCAGTTCATACAATCACTGGCTGTGCAGGTGAGTTTGTTAAATTTTCCTTTTTAAAGGTTTATTTAGGTATAAGATAAAAGCTTTGAAGTAACACCCTTCTAAAAACCCCAAACACATAAAAGCTTTGAATTACTCAAGAAGCAGATTAGACTGATTCTTTTTTCTTTAAAAAGACTTTGTGCAAGTTTTTTTTTCTTTTTTTTTTCTTTTTTAAACATACATTTGCCAAGGCACTTTGTCAATGTCCTGTGCTGGTCTATGACCAGAAAAGTGGCAGACAGGATCAGCTATTTCCCTGTAACAAAACAGGCTGTAAACCCCCAACTGCTGCTTGTCTATGGGGATGTCTCAGCAGCCATACCTTTAAGTGCATGCAATTAAATATTAAATCCCTGTTGCAGAAATAGCACTAGATTTCTTCACTCCCATATGGTTTTATGTACTGTTATATAAAAGGATAGTTGGGAGCTTGAATTCTGCCAGATTTAGATTTTTGTAAGCACTACTTCCAATGCCAGAAGTGTAAAATATGCCCATGCATATGTATATATAAAAAAAAAACTCAAGTTTGTCAACCCAACATAAAACCACTGTCATGGGATCTGTATCTTTAACAGAATAGAACTAGCACAAATCTGAGTAATATTACAACAAGGAAAAAAAAAAATCAAGTGGCAGAAAAAGTGCTGGGCTGTTGCTGCCAGAACAATGACTGCTGCTGTGAACAAACATCTGTGCTGTCCGCTAGTTCTCAGCTTAATTCCTACTTTTCAAGATCTTYTGCCTTGTTAAAGCAGAACGATGCAGGAGGAAAGTGACTGTGCAGCTGTTTTTCCTTTGGCTCCAATGGCTTTGARCTGTGTGGGCCAGAAATGGCAGCGTGTTCTGGAGCCTCCTGCTCAGAAACACTCAGTGTTCTGCACACTTAAGCATAACATGTTATGCAAAAAGATGTTGCCCCTTACAGCAAGGTGTAAAATTACATTATAGATTAAGATGTGTGGTGTGAAGGAGACATCCATGTGTCTTCCATAAACAGAAGGTCAGTGTCCTGCCTCTCTTCCCCCTTTCCAAAGACAGGTGCAATGAGGTGAGCTGGATACAGTCTTGTTAGAGAGGTCTAAGCCCTTCTTACCTCCACAAACATTTAAGTACATAAAGCTGGAGCTGCCCAAACCCGTGTGAGAGATGCTGTGTGGAAGCTTTGTGAGGGAAAGGAGGCAAAGTTTCACTCTGAGCCTGAAGAACAGTAGTAAGGACCACAGCAACATGCTTAACAGAAAAGCCCAAATGAAAACAAAACCTTAACTTATAGTGGTGATATTCTGTCATTGGTAGGGGCAGTGCAACAAAGGGAGGTCACACACCTGTAAAGCAGGGAACGGTCAGGGACCTGGGGAAAATAGTGCAGTGCTTCCTAACAAAACTGAATCTGCTCTGGTTTTGAGAGCTTCTCTTTCCTCTCGCCAAAGTTCAGTTGCTGGAGTAGCAGAAAATTCTCTAGTGAAGCTTGAAAGATTCTGCAGACTCGTCAAAAGTCTAAACCAGCAAAAAAGTCTTACTTGTGTAGTAGTTCCATCATATAATAAGCATCATTCCCTGCTCTTTCTGGAGAAGAACTACTYTCCTCACCAAATGGACTTAAATCCTGGTAAGTACTGTGCTTTCTATATTCCTTTACAGTAAGATCCATAAAACAATCGTGTTTTGGTCCTCTCTGAGGACGGAAAGGTGCACTTTGCAGTGACAGGAGAGGACCAGTCACTTCCACCTCGGATTAAGACAGTGTTTCCTGTTGCTGCACAGTCTAATACTTACGGATAGCTCTTCTATAAGCTCTTGCTGAAAAAAAATGGGAGATGCTCTGCTAGTATCTTGTTGAGCAAGCAGTCCTCCCAGCTGTTTTCTGAGGAACTGGGAACTTCAGTGCGTGCGAGAATGCCCCTTTAGAGCTTTTGCATCCTGTTTGCCTCTTACAGTTTGGATTTGGGGGTAGACTGGAGCAAAACCCTCATGTCCAGCAGTGCTTTCTCGAGGTAATGGGCCATGCGCGCGGCGTTCGTTTCAGCACAGCTGTTGAATGCTGAAATTGCAAAGTTGATGTGATCTGCCATGGGGTTGTAACAGACTCCGTAGCCGTCTGGAACCACAGGACCAAAACACATCACGCAGTCTGTCTTTGCTGGGACCTGTGGAGACAGGGTGATTTTAAAAAAAAAAAAAAAGCTTTTCTTCACTCAGAGACAACATAWAGGCAACAAAACTAACAACTGGAAACAGAAAATCCCTGCCATCTCACAAAAATCCTCTAGAAGAAGGGCTTTTGGTCAGGCCCATGTACTRGCACACCCAGGCTGCATTCTGCACTTAGTAGCTGTATGTTTTGATATGCTTTTGCAAAGGAGAACTGCTTGCCAAGATAAATTGTAGTAAGTTGAGCAAAGGGGTCTGAGTGAGCAGCACAGCACAGGTGATGAGTGTGAAGCTTTCTGGGCATCTCACTCCACTTGTTATCACATGCAGATAGCCACCAAAATGCTTCTGGTGATCTTGGCCTTGGGTTCTGCTAGCATTGGAGACAGCTGAAAAAGGCTGCAGCAGCTATAATCCCATAAAGCTTGGAAATCTTGGAAGCAAGCTTAAATCTTTTAGTCCCTAAACAGAGTTTAGTTTCAAAGTTTTACTTAAGATGATGGAAGATCCTTCATCCTTCCTAGATCATCCTAGGAAGATGTAAGAAAGAAGATGATCCTTCTTCTTTCTTAGAAGAAAAAGCCAACACAGAGAATGAGAGCATGCTTCTCTGTTTACACTGAGTCCTACCTGACTGGTTGAGAGATTAAAGTGCATCGCCACAGCGTAGGCCGTGTCCATGAAGAGCTCGGGAATGCTCACTAGGTCTTCAATAGCCTGAAGCTTCAAGCCGAGGAGGTGGCGGTCTATTGCGTTCCCCCTTATTGCCTGTGAGGAAGAAGGACAAGGTGAGAGCCTAAATAGCAGGCAAACAAAATAAATTATGTCCTCCTTTGTCGGGGGACAAATGATGCACCTCAGTCTCTTAGTGTTCAGAGTTAAAAACGTTAAATCTTGGCTTTAGTCTTGTCTGTAAGGCTTGTGAAATTAAACACCCCAGTTGAATCAATGTCATAGTTGCAGCCTGCAGGGCATCTGGTGGAAGGGGTCATTGAGCAGCTGTGGCATTTAGCAACAACAGCGAGGGGCAGCCCGAAAGCTACTCTGACATTTGATTCTGTCCTTTAGGCTGTCACCAAGGGCAGCTGAACAACTGTCCCCAGGGGAAGCAGTCACGTCCCAGAGCACTGTTAGGGCAGAGTTAGTCCTGTGCATGAGCAGGAATGGCCAGAGGGCTGTGCTGGCTGACCAAAAGCTCTTAAGGTCTCTTCTTTCACCCCAAGTCCCAATGTGGCTGCATAAAGGACGCTCACCATATCAGTGTATTCCCTGTGGGCCTGGGTAGCTCTCTTCAGCAAGTCAACTTTCTCCTGGTCCTGAGGAGAACAAACAGATCTGGCTGTTAGTTTTGCTGTAGAATTAATAAAATTATTTTGGTGGCTCTTCTAGGATCGAGGACGTATTTGCCCTCTGGGACTAGTCTAAGCTAACACTACTTTTCAAACCACTTGGGCTGAGTCGCTTTATTCTGAACGGAGTTCTCCATCCGTAGCAGGGCTTAGTGTGAGTTAGTTAAACAGATACTGCAATATGTTACTTTTTGGTGTGATTAGAAATCTCTACATGCAATTTTCCTTGCTATGAGTACATAAAAAAGCAAATCCCAATGAAACTCAAAGTATCTAACTATAAACTATATACTCTAAGCTATATTTTAACCCAGTTGCAAGTTACCAGCTTCAATTCTGGTTAACTGAAACCAGCTAATACAGGATTACCCAAATAGGCATCTTTACTCTTTTTTTTTCTGGAGAGCGGTCTATTTACTCTGCTTCTTTTTACTTCTTTGCTAAGTAAGCTTTACTTTTGACTTCCTCGATATCCTCACCGATTTGTCAGGCTTGTCCATGGCCTGCACAAACTTAAGGGAGTCCACGGAAGCGGAGCGGATGGTGTCCGTGCGGCCCAGGCGGAACATCCGCAGCGAAGCGCTCTCATACGTGGCACAGGAATGGCCGTACATCCTGGGAGATGGAGAAGGGCACAGGAGTGAGTTTCACTTGACAGGAACAGCCTCTTGTGGAGCAGAGCTTTGTGGCTTTAGCTTTTGGGGTTGTGGTTTTGTGGAGGTTTTTTTTGTAGAGGGGGAAAGGGGGCACTGAACTGATCTGTGAAGTGTTTCTACAAAGATTTATCAGGCTTCCTACAGCCCACTTCATTTGTTCTGTGGCACCTGGAGATGTTCCAACCCACTGCATGGGGAAGTTTAAACAGGGTTTAAGAGTCTTGTCACAACAGCCTAGTGATGACTTGGCTGTGACACCTTTAATAGACTCATGTATTTGAACCTGATTCTGAAGGGTGAGGAGGTTGAAAAGCTACCTACTGATGGTCTTACCTGTAATATGCTAGCTGCAAGGCCTGCTGGATGAAAGCATCAGGACTTATCTTCTCTGATTTAGGGAAGTTTTTCCCAAATTGATGAAAGACCATGACTTTCACATCCAGATCTTGGACCATTCTGCAAGGAAAGGAAGTAAAAATGTTTGCTTGCATATTGGTTCTTGTAACACAAAGGTACAGGCTTTGCTTTCAYAAGGCTCAGAGAGATTTTGGTTGTGATCTACCCAAAGACGTTGTACAAAAGAATTAAGCTCTGTGCTCAGACAGTAATGTGGAGGTGAGATTTTTGGTCATTGCTGAAGGCGTGACGGGTTAGGTGGGCTCAGGTCTCTATGCTCCAGTATCTCCAGGTAGATCTAGTAAAGCCTGCCCTTTCCCACTAAAAGAGGATAGTTAAGCAACCATCTTTGCTGAATTTTCTGCTGGCAGGTGGCTTTAGTGGGCATTTTGGCAAGATTCAGCACTGACCTAAGAAGTCACTGGGAAAACTTCCTGCTTACAGTGAGGAAAACCTCTTGCTTAAACCACTGACATGTTCCAAATGAGACCAYGAATTACTCCCTCAGTCACTTGGCCACGTTCTCAGCTGCTTCATACTCACATGTTGAGGTTCTGCTTTGCCTTCTCTATGTCAGTCTTGATTTCTGGAGTGATGTTAAACCGCAGCTTCTTGGGCATCGGCAAAGGAATCATTGGTGATCTTATCAGCTCCGGCTTCTTCCTGCAGGAAGAAGTGGTTGTGAAGCCACTTACCCAGAACTGTGACCCTGGGCTTGACACAGCAGAATTCTGGATAGAAATAATCAGACATCATCCCTAGCACCTTATGACACTTCGCCACAAAAAATTCCCGTCAGCTCTGAAAAGTGGCTTTCCTTAAGAATGGGAGCAGTAGCAAAAATTACTTGGGAACTGGGCTGACTCAATCCTCACCACTCATAACAGAACTGCAATAACTACCCTTCCTCCACAGCAAACTCCTAGAGGGTGAGCTGGAAGATGAGTATATTCCTGGTGATTTAAAACCTGTATCCGAAGTCGAGGAAAAAGATAGCAGGACTCACGTGTACTCCACAACGTGATCCAGAAGAGCCACAATGGGTGGGCCCTCAGAGGGAGCGTGCTCGTAGACAAGACCACAGGAACCATCTTCAGCTATGATGAACTGTGGAAGAAGCATGAAAAGACACCATGGTGAGGAGACATGGCCAGTGTGAAGTAGGGGTTATCCAGAGAGGGCTTTTAGTATCACAGAATGCTGGAGGTTGGAAGGGACCTCTAGAGATCAACTAGTCCAACCTTCCTGCTCAAGCAGGGACACCTAGAGCAAGTGGCACAGGGTCGCATCCAGGCCAGTATCTAACTGCTCTGCCTCTGAATGGATAGTGGTCACATTCCTGCATGCTGGAAAGGTAACAAATTGAGCAAGGCAGCAATGGGAATCCTCCAGTGTGTCTGAGAGGATCCAGGATCACTGCTACATGGATTTGCAGAAATCGTGTGGATAGAAGAACACGTCCAACGTGGTGCCTAAGCACTGAGCTCACCACTGTGGAAAGAGAAGAATAACAGAAGGATAATCTCACCTTCTGCTCACTAACCCTTCCTTTTCAAGTAGCTGAAACATTTAAGCTTTATTCCATCAGGATAAATTCCTCCAAACAGGAAGAAAACAACAGAAACATTAGGAAACACTCAGCAGATATGGGCAGAATCCTTTTAAAGCACGTCACTACTGTCTAGGAGTCAGGACAGATCAACTAATACAGAAGGAGAAGCTCAAATAGCAGCTGCTATTTACTGAATACTGAATGTACTGAAGGAGCCTGACAAGACTGAAGGGAGAAGAGATCAGAGAAAACCGGTGGGATGGCAGCTGATGCTTGGAAAATAACCTGGGTAGTGTCTGGCAGAGACAGGAAAAGTGACAAGCCTGTGGGAAATACCCGAAACAGACCTCCCTGTGTTTGGGCTGCTTCCAAGCAGACGAGGCATTGTTCACCACAGGCAGAAAATGGATTTACAAGGAACATAAAGAAGAGCTGTGCTGAACAAGGCTGCGCTGAACAAGCGTGGGCAGAGGCAGTGAAAAAGCCCCGAGGCAGCAAGGAGTGTTTGTGGTGACTGCAAGGGAAACCAAAGCATCTCACACTGTCAGCCTGCACACCTTGCCCCCAAAGCATCTCACACTGTCAGCCTGCACACCTTGCCCCCCTTATTTCTCCCCTCTGTTAGGGGAAAACCTTGCCTGCTAAAGGTGTTTGGAGCCTCTTAGATATTTATAGTCTCAGGAAAAAGTATCATCATGACTTTGGGGTCTCTGTTGCATCCCCACTTACCTGAAGGGTTTTGTCAAACCAGCGGTTCCCRCTGTTCCAGCGACTTCCTCCTCCGTGCAGCATCTGAGCGGCCACGCGGCTCTTGTAGATGTCATCAGACACCCGGGGCATTGGGGCGTCAAGGCAGACTGTAAAAATGCTCTTCTCTATTGTACGCACAGATTCCTTGTTGGTCTTATCTGGGACAGAAAGGGAGCAGGAGATAGCAGAAGTTGAAAGGAAAATTGTTTTGGTCATAGGGAGGCTGAAATTTGAAAGAGCTAGATCCTTGTTGTACCTCAATATAAAATTGCTCAAATAGTGGTGTATACACTGACTAAAACTGTACAGAATTGGGTTGTTCTGGATGGGAGCCTGTTACAGTCACACTCCCCTTGCCTGGTTCTTACATCCCACCCATTTGTAAGGCAAAAAAAAGGTTATGATTTCAGGTCATTTATGAGCCAAACCCTGCACTTCATCCCTGTCRCTTCCTAAACAGACATGGCAATGCTTTGCAGTGAAATTAAGCTGCTGCTTTGGGGGTAAAAAGCTCACTTATCTCTCCAGAATGAGCTTCTAAAGCCTTTTCAAAGTCAAACGCTAAACAGCAGAGTGGAGAGGGTGGTAGGTTTGATGGCACTTGCATGGCAAGGGCTGCACAGACCTTTGAGAAGGTTGTTGTAGGCTTTTGCCCAGCTGTTTCGGTGGTTGGTGGTGAGGATCCCAATGGGCTCTTTGTTGGTTTGGAGGGAGGTGTTCCAGATCTTTTCCAGCTGAATGAAGAGCTGGTCAGTGGTAAGGGGGCTTCCGTCGCTGTTGTAAACATCCAACTCGAAGAACTGAAGGTGAGAAGAGTGGACAAGGAGAATGAGAACTCCCCAGTGCCCAGCCCCAGAATCAAGAAGATGGCACTTTGAAGAGGTAAGAAATAGGAATATGGCTTACTAGGAGACCTTTGAAAGCAGCTCAGTAATGAGAGACTGAAAACCAACTGCCTTTGCAGGGCATAAATACAGCCAAGGTCTTAAGGAGCTCAGAAAACATGGTAACAAGGGTCAGTACCTAAGAGGAATTCYCATTTCTGAGACTTGCCCGTGGTGGCAGAGTTCATTATCCACCCACAACTTACAATTCCAGGACTGATCTGTTAAGTCTGGGCTTTCAAAAGAGAATTTGTGGGGACAAGAAAGAGAGGAAGAGAGACCTTTTCCATCCTGCTCTCCCAGGGCAATCGCAGGTGTCTGCTGGCTGAAGCCRAAGGGGATAAAGGGAGCGGGAATAAATCCCCGGTGATGCCTTGTGGGTTGTTCCCTTTCCTCTGGCAGGGCCAACTGAAAGGGTCACCCCCATTGCAAGGAACCTCCTTGAAAGCCCTACCTGGAAGTTGTGGACCACCGTGATGTGCCTGGACTGCTTTTTTCCTTTGGCGTAGTTGACAATGGAGTCCCGCTTGGGCCCSGGAATGCGGCACGATGACAGGATCTGGTAGTACTGGTTCATGCAGAGGGGTTTCCCACCCAGGTACTCCACTGGAAGGGTTTCACTGCACGACAGGGCAAGGGAAGGAAGGAAGGAAGGAAGGGGATGAAAAACAGCAGTGGAAAGTCCTGCACTCCCCATACAGGACAGGCTTAGCCATGCAGCCAGCTACCACCCACTCCAGCAAGCCGAAGCACATGAGTGTGCACAGTCTTAAAGYGGGGCATTTCTTCCCATTTTCACTATCCTTCTTAATAGGGACTACAGAGTGTTTGCTGGCCTTTCACTCGGGAAGGGGAAAAATCACTATCCTGTCTTAAATGTACATCAATGCGTTTGAAAAATGTAACATAAAGGAGTTAGGTTAAGCAGAGGCCGGTTGAGGTTCAGAAGGRCAGGGAGGAACAGGCTTCTCCAGAGGGCATCCTGGCTAGCCCAGAACTGAGAAACACTGGAAGCCCAAAGAAGCTGCATTCCTGCTGCCTGAGCTGCACCTTACTGTTTGGGAAAGCAAAATCCTGAACAGGGATCTGCAGGACTGTCAGTCAGGCRCCTTCCAAGTGTGCACATGTGCCAATGCAAGCATTAAGTAAACAAAAAGCACTAAGAAAGAAACATAAATATGYTTTTTTATTCCAGTGGTGATGACCTTAGCAATAAGCAACGATATTGCTGACAATATTTCTCTTCAGATACRTGCTCCCCATGGCAATAAGGAACCCAGAAAGGTTGGAAGACCGTTAACTCACTTGTCAATCATTGTCTTGAAATCCAGAACGCCCTCGATTAGCTTGGCAGCAAACCTGGAAAGCAATCGAATGCAATCAGGAGGAAGAACAGCCCAGAACAGCGGGGCCTGAGGGCTCTGCTGTGCAGGTTAAGCCTCTCTGCCAAGTCCCTGATGTGCTTTGGTGGCTGTTGAAGCCACCCTGCGTTTGGGATTTGAGATTGCTGGGTAGTCCTATCACAGAATCCTTAAGGTTGGAAGGGACCTTGGGAGATTGTGCAGCATTTTAAAGTTTCTTTGTGTAACCAAGGACAGGCTTCCAAAGCAGGGATCGGTTCAGCTGACTTTCTAACAGCAGCATTGCTCATGGGCGTGCTGTGATTTTTGTCACCCCTACTCCTGAGTCTTAAGATGAGTCTTAAAACTACCCTGAAAAGGGGACTTAGGCTTTTCCCTGGCCAGGAGCCACCTCTAGGCTTCAGGCTAAGCTGCAGCCGCATCTCCCTGTGCCCCAGCTCTACCCTTGTTCATATATCCTTCCTCCCCAATGGTTGTGCTGCTGCAGAGCAACCCTGAGCCCATTGCTCGGGCATCCAAGGGCCTGAAATGCAGATAAGCTGCTTGCTGATGCCCTGTGTTTACTAGGATCAATGCTATACACTACCCACGCCAGCTCCCATGTGGAGGGACACTGGGGTTGGACTCGCTGACCTAGGAGCTCCCAGCCGTGCCAGGAGGGAGGAGGTGACTGGGACAAGAGAGAACTTGGAAGGCATCCAAGTGGCAGGGGCAGGTGGTGTTTGCAGGCAGTGTCATCTTCATTGGTTCCCAACCCTAGGACACATCCAAGGAAATAACTCCAAGAACCTAAGGGCTACTGCATAAGATAGTCTCTAAAGTAGTTTTCAATTAAATTTTCCCAGATTTCCTGCAAAAACTTGAAAGGAAAASAGCTGGGAAGCAAAAGTGAGGGGGCAAAGAGCCTGGGTGCAGGGCTAGSGCCTGAGGGGGAGATGTGGGGAGAGGTTATTTAGCTGGTTTGTTTTCAACCTGCAGAGCTGCTCGATTAAGGATTGGAGAACTCAACTTTTTTCCATTTGCCCTCTGCTTTCTGAATCTCAAGTCAAATCTCTGCTTTCTGAGTCTCAAGTCATCCCATCAAACTTCCTTCTGCAGCTGCAAACTACTATTTCAAACCAGGCTTTGAATTTTTGTGGGAGTTCAGATGTTCACGCTGCTGCGTGATCCCACCGGTTGGGACTCCAGGTAATGCTCAACTTCTCACCCTCCACTTAGATGACTTAGAAGTGAATAACACGATCAAGAGCTTTTCARACAGGGTGTTTAGTCTTGCACTTTCCAGGAAGGCTCAACCTMTGCACCTCCAGTCTTACGTGGAAAGGAGGAATTTGTTCTTGCCCTCGCTCAGCCTTGACCGGTACGTTTAACCCGCTGGAGCAGTGATGACTAGTTAGTCACTGTGGAAAAGGTAACCCTGTATAAAGGCCAACCTTGAGTTTGGTGGCTAAAGCTGGATATGTGCACGTGGCGTTGGTTAAAAATTAAAGGGGGCCCATGTGGAGGAGAGAGATGAATCCRGGGCAGGTTCCGTGGGTGCTCGGGGGCAGCAGTGGGGTGGCCTCAGCACGGGACACTGGGATGCTCAGTAGCAGAAAGGAGCAAGAAACGGCAGTGTCTGGTCGCAAGGAAGAGCTGGGGGTGGAAAGAGGTCTTCTAAGCTATGAATCCCCAAGTGTAATGACACAGGAGGGGACAGTCCCCTGCAGAAACGGTCTGGGTGACAGCAGCAGGCTCCCCCCATCCCTGTGGGATGACAGATTCCAGGGGCATTTCCGTGTGGTCTCTCTTAGAGCCTGGGCTACTTTTTATGCTTCTTTTTAACTGCATGCACAACCTTAGTGCTCCTGGTCTTTACTGTCTTTTTCCTGTCTATCCACGCAGAGATCTGTGTGACAGCAAAGATGGAAACCTATGTTTTGAGGCCCAGTTTAGCCTCAAACCAGTGCCTAAACCACTGGATTGCTCTGTTTTCCAGCCCATCGGTCTTCCCTTGTCCCTACAGCCCTGTTGCCCAACACGGAGAGCTATCATASCGGGGGACCACACACTAATACTCCSTTTCCCAGCCAGCCCGAATACCTTCCTGTCCAGCAGAGAGGACTCATCTCGCCCACAACCCAGGRGAAGCAGAAAAGGGCTTTACCTGAGCTGCCCTTGCCGATCCAGAAAGTCCTGCTTGGGTAAAACCACGCCTGGGCTGGAGTGAACCACAACGGGCAGGCGATACTCCAGGTAAGCCGTCTTGAGCCACCACTCGGAGAGCTGGGACGGAGAAAGGCAACGCGTGGGCCCCGCTGCCCGGCCACTGCCTCTGGCCCCCAGCACCTCGTTGGGCTCTTAGGCTTCACCCAGCACCGCGCATGCGGATGGGCTTTTAGGCATCACACGTGGAAGGATCACACATCCTTCCACATGGGCTTTTAGGCATCACATTGGAGCAAGGCAGGGGGAGGACACGGCGCAGGGCGAGAGCAGAGGGTTTTCCTGCTCCTCAAGGGAGCTGTGTGAGGCTAAAACATTGTAGGGGCTTCAGCAACCACACATGGGATCAGTGACTCCCTGTATCTCTGCAATCCCCAGTCCTGGGAGTTCACGCAGCAGAAACAGGAGCCAACTGGTTGGGAAGATGCAGCCCTAACAGTGCGGATGCCGCTGGATGCACCCCGGCCTTTGGGCAGCTGTGTCGGATCTCCACTCTTTCTAATCACAGCCCAGGGACACAGAACCTACCCAGTTCTCCGTTTTCCTGGCTCTCCTCTCCAGGCCCTTCTGCAGCCTCTCGCCAACGCCTCCCGGTTTGCGGAATTCCTTCACCAGCTCCTGTGTRTGGTTCCATTCCTCCTCGCTGATGATGGGCTGCAGAGCCTGCAGGTACCGGTCCAGGGTCTGCTGGAGCGGTGGCACGGGCAGGCTGGGCAGCGCTTCCTGATGGAGCCGGAATCTGCCCGGGATCTTGCCCAAAGCGGYGGGTTTCAGCAGGCCGTAGGGCCTGGCCTGCAAAGCACAGAGGAAGGGTTGAAACAAAACCTGCTCCCAATGGCAGTGAGGCAGCAAACAGCTCCCATCTGGAAAACTCCATCCCAGCCTCTCTTGGGACACAGAGACGTCTCCGGATAGGAGCAGAGCCTCAAAAGCACAAATGCAAGATGTGGGTCTATGGATCACATGCTAGAGGGGGTCCTAGATAGAGCTATCCTGAAAAATGCAAAAGGAAAAGGGGATGTCCCAAGATACTGATTATCAGCTCGCTGTGGGAGATGCTGCCTGCCTGGGATAATGAGGCATCTGCTGCTCCTGGGCACCTTCAAGCCAATGGTCTCCACGTGTTCTACAGAAAACAACCCCTCCCCTCCCATGGGAAACAGCTACGGAAGAATCCTGACTATTGTCAAAAACTGATTCATTCCTTCTTAAAAATGTAACTCAAACCCAAGTCAAATAGAACAGCKGGCTTTTAGGAGGCAGAATTTAGTTGAGCCAAGTCTGAGGCAAGATTAAAGCCGGCCTTGTGTGGCTGGCCAAAGAGCACACGGTGCTCAGGGCAGGGCTGACCGATGTGCAGCCCTTGGCCCRGTGCCTCCTTCTAGCACTGCAGATCCTCCCGGTTCTACAAGGGCTGGGGCTTGTTCAGCTCCTCCATCCCATTATCCTAGCGGCGACCGCTGCCTTTGGGCATGGGCAGGAAGAGCAGCCGGGAAGCTGCGGGTGGTGCCACCAGTCCCCAAGGATCAGACTGTGACATGTGGGTGCAAAAACCTTAGAGCAAGGCACCCACCGCCCTGACAGAGAGCAGGGAAATCCATCACTAGCCAGGAGCAAAACTTGCTGGTTTTCCCCCAAAATTCAAAAACATCCCCTTGGATGAGCGGAGTTGGACACCCATCTGCCTGAAGATGTTTAAATTCGACTCCATAGGTTTTGAGATCCCTCTGCTGCTCCCGCTCGGTTGGATCTAGTGAATCAGTCTCCTAGCGGACTCGGGACTCTGCCCTGGGATGCAGAGCCGGGAAGGACGCGCCCTTTGCTTCCCGAGGCGAGGAGGAAACAGCCGCCCCCGGCGCCTCCCCCAGCCCAGCAGCAGAAAGAAAGGGCCAAATCTGCAAAGTTTCCTCCTTGGAGCCGAGCCCCCGGAGCAAATCCTCTGTGCTCCCTCTAGGAGGTGGCAAGAACTAAAGGAACAAACTTTCGAGAAGAAGGTGTGAAAAAATAATAATATTAAAACAATATTTAAAAAAAGGATGAATTACTGAAGCATTGAAAAGCAGCGCTAAAAACAGGATGAATTACTGAAGCACGGAGGAGCAGCAGGGCGGGGAGGACGTGAAGGAGGTTAACGGTGGCGGGTAGCGGGTACGGTACCTTCTCCGCTTGCTCCTGCTTCCTATCCATGGCTGGGGGCACAGAAAGGAGCGTTCAGCCTCTCCCTGCGCCTGCCTCCGCGCCGGCCGCCCCCCGGCACCCGCCGGAGCGGCCCCCCGGCCGCGGCTCTGCTCCCGCCGAGGCTGCGGCCACCGGCCCCGCGCCGACGGGCTGCCCGCGGCCCCGCACGTGCCCCTTTATCTCTGCCCTCTTGTTTGCCCGTGGGGACACGTGGTGGCAGGGGCAGAGTCTCCCTCCGATCCCTCGCCCTGGGCTTGCGGCCATGGGGTGAGGCGGGGGGGGGGGGCGCAGGGAAATTATCCCATCGGTTTGTGGGAGCTTTTCCTTTGGCTTCTGCTTTGCGCGTGCGGCTCCAGCAGCCGTTCTGGAACCNCCTGGAAGCAGGTGGCACCCAAGGGAGATCCCAATTCATGTCCTGGAAGCAGGGGGCACCCTGGGCTGCCATCACACAACCCGAGCCACAGGGATAATTTCAGGAGGCGACAGGAACTGGCTCCTTGGGCTCGGAGTGGCAGCCAGGGGGACCGGAGGGTGTCACACGGGGACAGGAACCGGACCCYAATCGGACCCTAACCCAGCACCCCGGCGGCAGATGAGCCCCGCACGGCAGCAGGTCCGCTTTGGGCACYAAAGGCACCATCTCACTGCGCTCCTGCCTGGGACGGGGCGGGAGTCTCAGGTTGTCAGATCCTTTCAGATCCACCCTGGCGTCACAGGGAAAAAGCTCAAAAATTAATCGAAATTCCTGCATGTCACAGTGCGCGTGTGCCTTTCGGATGTCCCCTGCCGGCTCGTTTTGGGGTGAAAAGGGAGCGTTTGGTGGGCAGGGACCCCCCCGACCAGCCRGGGGCTGTGGGGGCTGCGGGGGCCGGAGCCGCTGACCTTCCCCTGCGCCTTCCCGCCGGGACTCCGCAGCGGTGCCCGGTTCCCGGCGCGGCCACGAGATTTCGGGTGTTCATGGCGGACCTCTGCTCTCTTTGGGGGGTCTGAGGGCGGGGGCCGCGCGGCCCGTCCCGCGTCCCGAGCCCCCCACGGGCGCCCGGCCGGTCCCTGCGAGCGGCTCGGCGCTGCCCTGGC